AAACCTGGTCATTTTTTCCCATTTCAAAGTTTATAGGCCGGGCGTGGTGGCTCACGCCTGTAATCCAAGCACTTTGGAGGCCAAGGCGGGCGGATCGCCTGAGGTCAGGAGTTCAAGACCAGCCTGACCAACATGGTGAAACCCTGTCTTAAAAAACAAAACAAAACAAAAACTTATAAAGGCCAGGCACGGTGGCTCACGCCTGTAATCCCAGCACTCTGGGAGGCTGAGAAGGGCAGATCACGAGGTCAGGAGTTCGAGACCAGACATGATGAAACCCCGTCTCTACGGGGCCGAGTGGTGCACTCCTGTAGTCCCGGCTACTCCGGAGGCTGAGGCAGGAGAATTAATTGCTTGAACTCTGGAGATGGAGGTTGCAGAGAGCCAAGATCATGACACTGCACCCCAGCCTGGGCGACAGAGCAAGATTCTGTCTCAAAAAAAAAAAAAAAAAAAATTCAATCCATTGTAACCCCTCCACAGCTCCACTATAGTATTATTTTATTATAGTAAAGCTATTCTCAAGCTGCTTTGGACCTAGCCCCTGAACTTCACTCCCCTGCTAATTAAAAGTCACATGTGGTGGCTTCAGCCTGTAGTCCTAGCTACTTGGGAGTTAAAGGCAGGCAGGAGAATCCCTTGAGCCTAGGAGTTCCAGGCTGCAGTGAGCTATCATTATACCACTGCACTTAAGCCCAGGTGACAGGGCAAGACCCTACCTCTTAAAAAAAAAAAAAAAATCAGGCCGGGCGCGGTGGCTCACGCCTATAATCCCAGCACTTTGGGAGGCTGAGGTGGGTGGGTCATGAGGTCAAGATCGAGATCATCCTGGTCAACAAGATGAAACCCCGTCTCTACTAAAAATACAAAAATTAGCTGGACATGGTGGCGTGTGCCTGTAGTCCCAGCTACTCGGGAGGCTGAGGCAGGAGAATTGCTTGAACCTGGGAGGCGGAGGTTGCAGTGAGCCGAGATCGAGCCATTGCACTCCAGCCTGGGTAACAACAGTGAAACTCTGTCTTAAAAAAAAAAAAAAAAAAAAAAAATCAGAGTTGAAATTCTCACAATTCCAACAACCTTTTGTAATTTGTGTGGCAGACTGGGCTGGTGCTAGCCCAGCATGCCAAGAACAGCAAGTTGGAAAAGCAGGCCACACTGTTAAAACAAACCTATACTTTATATACACTCTTGTGTAGGTATAACATAGTCCATTAAAAACAAAACCTGCTAAATGCAATGTGATATTCAGGGTTGGATCCTGGAACAGAAGAAAGGACATTAGGAAAACTGGTGCAAGCTAAATAAAATCTGAAGTTTAAGTTGAGCATAGTGCCTGATGCCTGTAATCGCAGCATTTTGGGAGGCCAAGAGGCAAGAATATGACTTGAGCCCAGGAGTTCAAGACCAGCCTGGGCAACATAGTCCCAGTCTCTACAAAAAAAAATTTGAAATAATAATTTTTAAAAATCACATTTCACTAACACTAATATGCCAATGTTAACCTCTAAGTTGTGACAAATGTACCATAGTTTTCTTCATTGTTTTTCTTTTGTTGTTTTTTGAGACGGGGTCTTGCTCTGTTGCTCAGGCTGGAGTGCAGTGGTGCCATCTCGGTTCACTGCCACCTCTGCCTCCAGGGTTCAAGCTCTTCTTGTGCCTCAGCCTCCCAAGTAGCTAGGATTACAGACACCCACCACCATGCCCAGCTAAATTTTGCATTTTTAGTAGAAACAGTGTTTCACCATGTAGGCCACGCTGGTCTCGAACTCCTGACTGCAAGTGATCCTCTCACCTCAGCATCCCAAAGTTCTGGGATTATAGGCATGAGCCACTGCACCCAACCTTTTGTTATTCGAGACAGGGTCTCACTGTGTCACTCAGGCTTGAATGCAGTGGTGTGATAATGACTCACTGTAGCCTTAATGTTGCAGGCTGAAGCAATCCTCCCACGTCAGCCTCCCAAGTAGCTTGGACTACAGGTGGGCGCCTCCATGCCTGAATAATTTTTGCATTTTTTTGTAGAGACAGAGCCCAGGCTGGTCTTAAATTCCTGAGCTCAAGCAATCTGCCAGTCTCGGCCTCCCAAAGTACTGGGATTATAGGTGTACTCCCACACCCAGCCAAATTAGCATAGTTTTACATAAGACTTTTTAGAGGAAAATTGGCAATAGATCTATAACTCTACTATCCTTGTAACTTTTCAGTAAATCTAAAATTATTCTAAGTAAAAAAGATATTTTTAAAAAAGGAAAACTATAATTTCATGTCCTCCTTCCCCTGTCCATCTACATTTACCAAACTTTAGCCCAGTGGTTTTCAATTTTCCTGTCTTCCTGCTACCGGGAAGTATGAAGAGCAATCAAACTTTTCGACCATTACCCACAACAAGAAATACATTTGTGATTGGGCGTGGTGGCTCATGCCTGTAATCCATGCACTTTGGAGGCCAAGGTGGGCGGATCACCTGAGGTCAGGAGTTCAAGACCAGTCTGATTAACATGGTGAAACCCCGTCTTTCTTTTTTTTTTTGATTAAAGATGGGGTTTTACCATGCTGGTCAGGCTGGTCTTGAACTCCCGACCTCAGGTGATCCGCCCGCCTTGGCCTCCAAAGTGCTTGGATTACAGGTGAGAGCCACTAAGCCCGGCGGAAACCCCGTCTTTAAAAAAAAATAATAAGAAGAAATACATTTGCAACCTGGTATACAAATTCAAATATATCATCACAATATATTCTTAAAATATGCATAAATATACTCTAGCATATTCTGTCCTTTTTTTAGTACTGGTAACTATCCACCTATGGGTTCAGACCCACAAATAAAAAGGTCTAGTTACAATGGCCTTCTCTTGGTTTCTCAAGTATAATACTTTGTGCTTTATCAAGTTTCAGGTCCTTTGCTCTTGCCATTCCTTCCTCTCATTCCTAGATTAGTGAGCCCTTCTTTTTTTTTTGAGCCGGAGTTTCGCTCTTGTTACCCAGGTTGGAGTGCAAGGGCGCAATTTCAGCTCACCGCAACCTCCACCTCCTGAGTTCAAGCAATTCTCCTACCTCAGCCTCCCGAGTAGCTGGGACTACAGACACGCGCCACCATGCCCAGCTAATTTTTGTATTTTTAGAGACGGGGTTTCACCATGTTGGTCAAGTTGGTCTTGACCTCCTGAACCCATGATCCACTCACCTCAGCCTCCCAAAGTGCTGGGATTATAGGCGTGAGCCACTGTGCCTGGCTCATTTTTTCTTTTTGAGACAGAGTCTTGCTCTGTTGCCCAGGCTGGAGTACAGTGGGGCGATCTCGGTTCACTGCAATCTCTGCTTCCTGGGTTCAAGCCATTCTCTTGCCTCAGCCTCCTGAGTAGCTGGGATTATAAGCATGTGTGTGCCACCACACCCAGCTAATTTTTGTATTTTTAGTAGATACGGGGTTTCACCATGTTGGTCAAGTTGGTCTTGACCTCCTGACCCCATGATCCACTCACCTCAGCCTCCCAAAGTGCTGGGATTATAAGTAAACCACCGCCACCAGCCACTCTTCATATTTTAAGGACTACCGCCTCAGAAAAGCTTTCCTCTAACACACAGCATGGTAGGTTTTCTCACCATTTTCTTTCTTTCACAGCACTTATCACAATCTATAACACTGTTTTTTGTTTTCCAGTTTTGAGTTTTTGTTTTTCGTTTTAAACACTCTTGTTGCCCAGGCTGGAGTGCAATGGCGAAATCTCGGCTCACTATAACCTCCGCCTCCCGAGTTCAAGTGATTCTCCTGCCTCAGCCTTCTCAGTAGCTGCGATTATAGGCATACACCACCATGCGCAGCTAATTTTGGTTTTTTGTTTGTTTGCTTGTTTATTTTTGAGACCAGTCAGTCTGACCTCAGGTGATCCACCCGCCTCAGCCTCCCAAAGTGCTGGGATTACAGGCCTGAGCCACCATGCCGGGCCTGTAACATTGTTTACTTATTTTCCATCTCTCCACTAAAATTTAAAGCATAGTGAGGGCGGGGTCTTTTTTGGTCTTGTTAACTAGTGTATCCCTAATACCCAGAACAAATCTAGCTCCTGGCAGGCATTCAAATAATTGCTAAATAAAGAGATACAAAAGCCCCCTTATAAGGTTTCTTAGGCCAACTGAGGGCCCCATGGATGCCATGTTAACCTCTGTGACCTACACACTCCAGATGAGTTCCTGGAAAATCTAAAGTAACTGGAAGACCATGAAAAGAGAAAGCAATCATCAACCCCTGCCATGCCTACTTAACTTTAACACATTCTCTATTGTTCCTTATTCCAGCCCCAATTGATAAGGCCACTGGACTTTGTAACCAACATGGTCAACCTCATGACTCCACACCCTACGACCCCCTCCCAGCTTGCAAACCCGTGACCCAATCCCAGCTTTCCCAAACCTTAAGTTACCTTAAACGGTAACTTTCAACTGCCAACCCCAAACCTATAAAACCAACTCCTATCCCACCGCCCTTTCTGACACCCTTTTCGGCCTCAGCCTGCCTGCACCCAGGTGAATAAATAGCCATGTTGCTCACATGAAGCCTGTTTGGGGGTCTCTTCATTCAGAGTGCGAGTTTTAACACCACTGAGTCATTTATGTAAATCAGGTGGAGTGGTGGTCTTGTTCACACCTTTTTTTTTTTTGAGACAGTCTCACTCTGTCGCCAGGCGCCAAGCTGGAGTGCAGTGGCACAATCTTGGCTCACTACAACCTCTGCCTCCCAGATTCAAGCAATTCTCCTGCCTCAGCCTCCCGAGTAGCTGGGACTACAGGTGCACACCACCACGCCCAGCTAATTTTTGTATTTTTAGTAGAGACAGGGTTTCACCACGTTGGCCAGGATGGTCTCGATCTCTTGACCTTGTGATCCGCCTATCTCACCCTCTCAAAGTGCTGGGATTACAGGCTTGAGCCACCGCGCCGGTCCTTGTTCACACTTCCCAAGTACAGCTTCCACTTCTCCCTGAACCTCTCATAAAGTCACAGAGTAAACAGGAGGTGAGTTTATTTTTCCAGTCTTCGTATTAACAATTTTTAAGGAAATAAATCATTAGGATAATAGGTAGAGTCATAGACATATTTCTAGCTCCATTAGGTCAAAGGAAAGGAAAGAGGAAAGGAGAAAGGAGACAAACCCTCTAAGAAACTGTCCGTTTAGTCTGCAGTCAATATGAAGAGGTACCCTTTGGAGACACAGAAAGCATTAAATTAAAGTGGATTATGCTTGCTGTTAAAGGAACTGGTCCAGCTGAGTGGCAGAAGATGACAACTCAAATGTCCATGTAGAGCATCATGGTCCCTGAGCAAAGAGACTTCTTCTGGTTCCTCTTGCTCTCCTCACCAAGAGCACAGATGTGTACAGCAGCAATATAATAGCAAATGTCTCTACGGCTTCAGGATGAAAATGTTCACACACTGTAAGACCCGGAAGAAATGGGAAGTGCTCCAAACCCAAGGAGCTGAAGCTAGGGAAAGATAGTTTCCTTGTGTTTCTGTCATACAGGTGGGCTGATGTTGAAGCCAATGTTCTATACCAATCTGGAGCATCCACTGGGCCTAACAAAGTGCCTGGTTGTGCATGGGTTGATGAGGCAGGAGGGGCCAGACCAGCACAACGTCAGAGCTCTGTTCTTTTTTTGTTGTTTTTTGAGATGGAGTCTTGTTCTGTCGCCCAGGCTGGAGTGCAGTGGCACCATCTCGGCTCACTGCAACTTCCGCCTCCCAGGTTCAAGTGATTCTCCTGCCTCAGCCTCCCGAGTAGCTGAGATTATAGGCATGCACCACCATGCCCAGCTAATTTTTGTATTTTTAGTAGACAGGGTTTCACCATGTTGGTCATGCTGGTCTCAAATTGCTGACCTCATGATCTGCCCACCTCTGCCACCCAGAGTGCTGGGATTACAGGAGTGAGCCACCACGCCCAGCCAGGGCCCTATTCTTCTAGTGTTGGGTCCATTTGATGCTCTTGAGGTCAATGCCATCCTGAACCATCTCCCAGAGAGGGCTGCCAAAGAGAAAAGACATTAAATGAGTGAGGGCAGCCGGGCACGGTGCCTCACCCCTGTAATCCCAGCACTTTGGGAGGCTGAGGTGGGTGGATCACAAGGTCAAGAGATCGAGACCATCCTGGTCAATATGGTGAAACCCCATCTCTACTAAAAATACAAAAAATTAGCTGGGTGTGGTGGCGCGTGCCTGTAATCCCAGATACTCAGGAGGCTGAGGTGGAAGAATTGCCTGAACCCAGGAGGCAGAGGTTGCGGTGAGCCGAGATTGCGCCATTGCACTCCAGCCTGGGTAACAAGAGCGAAACTCCATCTCAAAAAAAAAAAAAGAGTGAGGGCTTAGATAGGAAGTGGCCAACATTAGCCCCAAGGCCCTGAGCAATGCCTTGCCTCCTTCCGTCCCTGTCTATCCTCTGCCTCTTGCCAGTAGATCCTAACACAAGTGGTTAACATGTCTTTCCCAGCTCCCTATAAGTCCCTGTTAGCCTTCCTGAGAGCTCTCCCCAACTGCCAACAAACAGGAATAACTAAGTACCTCAGACTCAAGTGTCGTGGGGTCCTGAGCCAATGCACACCAAACATGGTCACATTCTTGAAGCTCTCATTCCACTTGTAAGAGGCTATGGCCACAGTTTCCCCTGCAGTAACCAAGACCCTTGGGACTAGTATAAGCAGCTAGTTTCAGCCTCTCTTCACATGACCTGTATAAGCAGCTAGTTTCAGCCCACATATTATCCGCTTTTCAGCATTTGTTTCTTGGTTTTGTTCTAATTTCCAGTTAGGGCTTGGAACTAGAACAAAACCAGAAACAATGCTGAAATCATCTCAGTATGCTGTGCCATTACCTAGTTTTGGCCAGCTTCATCTCCCCAGAGTTGGGCTGTGCTTCTGATATCCCTGGCTCCAATCTAAAAGAATCCCTTGCGGGTAGGGGAGAGCAAAAAAAAAAAAAAAAAATTCCTTGGATCTTAGACCTGAGCATCCTATCTCACACAAGAGGGGCTGGGCGCAGTGGCTCACGCCAGTAATTCCAGCACTTTGGGAGGCCAAGATGGGTGGATCACGAGGTCAAGAGATCGAGACCATCCTGGTCAACATGGTGAAACCCCGTCTTTACTCAAAATACAAAAAATTAGCTGGGCATGGTGGCGCGTGCCTGTAATCCCAGCTACTCAGGAGGCTGAGGCAGGAGAATTGCCTGAACCCAGGAGTTGCGGTGAGCCGAGATCGCGCCATTGCACTCCAGCCTGAGCAACAAGAGCGAAACTCCATCACACACACAAAAAAAGAGCTGCTGCTGAGAAATGTCTGCTAAACTCTGATCAATCCCCAAGCAGAAGCTTGGATATCTTGGATAATGTTCCCAGGCCAGATATTACTTCAATGTGCTATGAATATAGGATTTTGCAGTTTAAATTTCACCAGGTAATTTTACCAAATTTAATTCTGTTGTTTTTTTTTTCTTTTTTCGAGCCCCCTACCTTTTTTTCTTAATTTCATTCTATTCTTGACTTGCCTCCTTTACACTAAACATTCCCAGAATACCTTTCTATTTATGAGATTTTCCATGGCCCTTAAAGTCAGCCATCTCCTTCCTGTCCTTCCTCTTTAGGGAAGGCCACTTATTATTATGGACTCTGAGCGCTAATGGGACCAGGCTGCATTCAGTTTGTAAAGGGTTGGAAGGAATAGGGTGCAGATGCTGAAGCCACAGAGATAGTAAATAAAAGGCTTTGCTGGCCATGTGGTCTGTAAAAATGACTTTTGAATGTACCACAGTATACCAGAAAACTAGGCCAAAGGAAAAATCGTATAGTTGAGCAAGCTATAGACGCTTAAGCAATACAGCTAGACCCTACAAAGAAAAATTCAGAGCACAGGAAAGCTTGGGAGAGCTCATAAAGGGAAGGAGAGTATATATCTGAAATTATTCTCTACCAACTGGACCAAGAGAATCCTGAAAGCCAAGGTTAACCAAGACAAAGCCAGGCTCTGAAAAAATCCGGAGGGCTCAAGGTTCCCAGGAGGAAGATGAGCTAGCTCTGTGACTACTAGGGAAGCCCTGGTGCCAGCTGACTGGCCAAGAATCTCATTACCTTTATAAACACCTTTACAAAGAAAACTCTGAGTAGCGGGTTTTTTTTTTTTTCTTAAAAATTTTTTTTTTTCTTTTTTAAAGATGGGGTTTCACCATGATGGCCAGGCTGGTTTTGAACTCCCGACCTCAGGTGATCCACCCACCTCTGCCTCCCAAAGTGCTAGGATTACAGGCGTAAGCCACCACGCCCGGCCCTAGTGGTTCTTATTTTTAAATAGAGATGGGGCTGGTTCAAGACCAGCCTAGGCAAATTTCTTATTTTTAAAGAGAAATTTGAGTCCTATGGCTAGATTCAGGAGGTATATGATAGCTCTGAAATTGGGGCTTAAACATTGCCTAGGCTGGTCTTGAACTCCTGGGCTCAAGGAATTTGCCTGCCTCTTGGCCTCTTTCCAAAGCGCTGGGATTGCAGGCATGAGCCACCACACCCAACCTGAGTATTGGTTCTAAACCTTTTGAAAATCCAATACAATTACACACTTTCTTCCAAGGAAAATACACAAGTGTATAATACTTAACATACAATTTCAGAGCTATCATATACCTCCTGAATCTAGCCATAGGACTCAAATTATGAATCCCTGTCTTTTTTTTTTTTTTTTTTGAGACGGAGTTTCGCTCGTTACCCAGGCTGGAATGCAATGGCACGATCTCGGCTCACCGCAACCTCTGCCTCCTGGGTTCAGGCAATTCTCCTGCCTCAGCCTCCTGAGTAGCTGGGGTTACAGACATATGCCACCATGCCTGGCTAATTTTTATATTTTTAGTAGAGATGGGTTTCACCATGTTGGCTAGGCTGGTCTTGGAACTCCTGACCTCAAGTAATCCGTCTACCTCCCAAAGTGCTGAGATTATAGACGTGAACCACTGCTCCCGGCCATGAAATCCTATCTTAAAGAGAGTTTTCCTATACTTAGTCTGAAAACCACTAATTATGTATTGATAGTGCTACAATGACAACTATTAATACTATCACTAAAATAATGAGGGGCTGGGCACAGTGGCTCATGCCTATAATCCCAGCACTTTGGGAGGCCGAGGCGAGAGGATGGCTTGATCCCAGGAGTTCGAGACCAACCTGGACAACACAGTGAGACCCCCATCTCTACAAAAAATATATTTTTAAAATTAGCTAGGCGTGGAGGCACACAACTGTAGTCCTAGCTATTTGGGAGTTTGAGGCAGGAGGATAACTTGAGTCCAAGAGTCCAAGGTTACACTGAGCTATAATTGTGCCACTTGCACTCCAGCCTGGGTGACAGAATGAGACACTGTCTCTCAAGATAATAATCTGGCCAGGCACACTGGCTCACGCCTATAATCCCAGTACTTTGGGAGACCAAGGTGGGTGGATCACCTGAGGTCGGGAGTTCAAGACCAGCCTGACGAACATGGAGAAACTCCGTCTCTACTAAAAAATACAAAATTAGCCAGGCATGCTGGCACATGCCTGTAACCCCTAGCTTGAACCTGGAGTGCGGAGGTTGCAGCGAGCCATGATCGTGCCACTGTACTCCAACCTGGGCAACAAGAGTGAAACTCTGCCTCAAAAAAAAAAAAGATAATAATAATCATACTGAAAAATTCTACCTGGGTCAGGTGTGGTGGCTTGTGCTGGTAATCCCAGCACTTTGGGAAGCCAAGGCAGGAGGACTGCTTGAGCCTGGGAGTTTGAGAATAGACTGGGCAACATAGCAAAACTCCATCTCTACAAAAAATACAAAAATTAGCCAGGCATGGTGGCACATACCTGTAGTCCCAGCTACTTGGGAGGCTGAGGTGGCAGGATTACTTGAGCTTGGGAGGCACAAGTTGCTGTGAGGTGTGATTGCACCACTGCATGCCAGCCTGGATGACAGAGCAAGGACTTGTCTCCGAAAAAAACCTACTACCTGCATTCATCTAGTTCTATAGTTTTTTTTTTGTTTGTTTTGAGACGGAGTTTCACTGTTGTTACCCAGACTGGAGTGCAATGGCGCGATCTCGGCTCACCGCAACCTCCGCCTCCTGGGTTCAAGCAATTAATTCTCCTGCCTCAGCCTCCCGAGTAGCTGGGATTACAGGCACACGCCACCATGCCCAGCTAATTTTTTGTATTTTTAGTAGAGTCGGGGTTTCACCTTGTTGACCAGGATGGTCTCGATCTCTTGACCTTGTGATCCACCCACCCCGGCCTCCCAAAGTGCTGGGATTATAGGCGTGAGCTACCATGCCCTGCCTTAGTTCTATAGTTTTTAAAAACACTTTCTCATTGTGAAGACAAGTAGTCAAGAAGATCCACTTTCTTGCTTTGTGGAATCTCTAAATCCTAAAATCCAAGTACTCTTGAACTTTGGTTTTGGCTGTGTAAACACATAGCCTAAGGACAAGAGGGGAGACAGCACTAGTATTTCTTCCAAAGGGTCTCTGATACAGTATGTTTACCTCATTTCTCGAAGACGCTTCACATGCTGAATGCACTTCTCCACTGTGTAGTCCACTTCCTCCTCTGTAGTGAAGCGGCCAATTCCAAACCTGAAAAAAGGCACAGGAGAATGGCTCCCTATCAGAGCTCTGGCACTGGGAAAACTCATTCCGCAAATACTCACTGAGGATCTACAACACAAGAGACCTGGAGAGAAGAACATGGTCCTTCCCCTTTAGGGCACAGTTTCTCAGAGCATGGTATACAGACCAGCCAGGCGCGGTGGCTCACACCTGTAATTCCGGCACTTTGGGAGGCTGAGGTGGACAGATTACTCGAGGTCAGGAGTTCAAGACCAACCTAGCCAACATGGTGAAACCCCATCTCTACTAAAAACACAAAAATTAGCTGGGTGTGGTGGCACATGTCTGTAATCCCAGCTACTGAGGAGGCTGAGGCAGGAGAATTACTTGAACCTGCAAGGTAGAGTCTGCCATGAGCCGAGATCATGACATTGTACTCCAGCCTGGGTAACAGTCTCAAAACACGGTCTATAGACCACCCACATTAAAATCACCTGCGATGTTGAGATGTTTCCTACTCCTCCTCCTCCAAACCTAGCAAATCAGAATATCTGAATGTGGGACTCAGATATCATCATATTTCACAAACTTCTCAGGTGATACTCAATGAAGTCTGAGAACCACTGCTCTAGAAACTTTCACAAGGTTATTAGAAGAGATAAGAAGAACTAAATTGAGAAGAATGTCACAGTGGAAAAAAGATGTAATAGGACATGAAAAACGTAAGAGGATGTCTTTCATAAATGTCGCCACTCAATTCACTGACCTGATAGAAGAGTGTGCTAAATCCTCATCAGTGCCGATTGCTCTAAGGACATAAGAGGGCTCCAGGGATGCAGAGGTGCAGGCACTGAGGACAGAGACACAAGCCTTGTTCAGTTCGTCATCAACATCTACTTTTAGTCACAAACCCTCAGTCTTGTACTCATTCCCCAGGGCCCTGGAGTCATACCACAGAGACAAAAGAGACCTAATCTGGCAAAGCAAAAGGACCTGATGCTGCCCTGCACATCCTAGGATGTATGAACCTAACTCCTCTGGCCCTTATGGTGGATGACTTCCTTGAGCAAGGATGCTGGCAAAATATAACAGAGCATGATACCACATGAGCTGGGTTTGACAAGAAGAGGCAGCAGAGGACCATGTGCTCACTTCCCCAGGACACAATATACCATTGGCACAAGCCTGAAGGGCAGCCTAACCCTTAGTGGCCTTTGGAGCATCTTCAGTTCTGGAGGCCTATAACAGAACTGCTAGTGTAACCCCAGGACAGATACATATATCCCCTGGGAGCATAAAAGGCACAAAATTCTGGCTGGGCATGATGGCTCACGCCTGAAATCCCAGCACTTTGGGAAGCTGAGGTGGATGGATCACAAAGATAGAAGTTTGAGACCAGCCTGGCCAACATGGTGAAACCTGTCTCTACTAAAAATACAAAAATTAGCTGGGCATGGTGGCAAGCACCTGTAATCCTAGCTACTCAGGAGACTGAGCCTGGAGAATTGCTTGAACTCAGGAGGCGGAGACTGCAGTCAGCCGAGACTGCACCATTGCACTCCAAGATTGGGCAACAGAGTGAGACTCTGTCTCAAAAAGAAAAGCCACAAAATTCTACCCCAGGAAGCATTCCTAAGGTGGTAAACTTCAGCCTGTACCCAGCTACCCAGCCAACCAAATAAAAAAGGAGTCCCTTCCAAAATGACCTTTACCCTTAATCAAGAGCTCTTGTGGCTGTCATCTCCACACTGGGAAGCTTAACAGCCTGTACGACACTTCTAAGTGGGCCTGATGCAGGCCCTGTCTATGCTGTCCAGCTCACCTCCCTGAGGATAAGGCAACATCCTTCAGTGCCATCAGCAGACTCTCCCCTTCCACATACGCGAAGGAGAGGTTGATACAGCCTGGAGGAAAGAAATACTATGAGAAAGGTCTCAGAGTCTCAGCCTCTACCAGAATGAGAATAGAAAGGGCAAATCCATACCAGGATAATGGTGCTTGGGGTCCCCATTCATCACCACATCTGGAAGGCTCTTCATTATATTCTGTATCAGCCGCTCTGCTAACTTTGAGATCCGCTTGTGGTCATACTAAGGAGCAGGCAAGGAAGGATTAAGCAGTAACCATCGACCAGCTAAGAAACACATAGTTTAAGAAGCCCTTCTCCTATACCCGGAAGTGACTATGTGTCAGCCCCACCTATCATCTTATGTTACTCATGGAAACCACTGTATCTCCAGTACTGAGCATAGTGCCTGCAATGTAAAGGGTGCTTGATAACTAGACACAGGGCTTATTTATTAATCCAGAAATAAATGAGCTGATAACTACTAAAAGGGCATGGGTTTTGGAGCCCATAATGCCTCCCTCAGAACTCAGAACAAGGTACCAGCAGCAGCACCAGGACAAGGAAGAGTTTTCTTTTTTTTTTTCCGAGACAGAGTCTCACTCTGTCACCCAGGCTGGAGTGTAGTGGCACAGTCTCAGCTCACTGCAACCTCCATTTCCCGGGTTCAAGCAATTCTCCTGCCTCAGCCTCCTGAGTAGCTGGGATTACAGGGATGCGCCACCATACCCGGCTAATTTTTGTATTTTTAGTAGAGACAGGGTTTCACCATGTTGGTCAGGCTGGTCTAGAACTCCTGACCTTATGATCCACCTGCCTCGGCTTCCTAAAGTGCTGGGATTACAGGCATGAGTCACTTCGCCTAGCCAAGGAAGAGCTTTCTTAAGCCCTCTCTCTCAGCAGAGATCTGCCTCAGTCATGCTGAGAAGCCTCTAAATAGGAGACCCAGCACGGGGGAAGAAGTTGTGGGAGGGAACTGCTCTCCCCATACCTCCATCTCTTGCTGTGCCACCTCACACGCAGCCCCCAGCCCCACCACTAAGGGTGTGGGCACTGTCCCAGACCGCATACCCCGCTCCTGCCCCCCTCCACTCTGCAGGGCCTCCACACGCACACGGGGCCGGCGACGGATGTAGACAGCACCAACCCCTGGGAAACAAAGTTGGTTACAAAAAAGAGAAAGAAAAAAACATAGTTAAAACAAAATGTCACTTTCCAAAGGGATCAAAATATTATTTCAACTTTTCTGTAAGAGTGACATTTTTCTAATTAAAAAATTTTAAGGAAAAGAAGAAATAGCAGTAAAAGCATAATATTTAGTAAAATGATTTAACACCTGGAATATAAATACCAGAAGGAGTAATGATCAAAATGGTTTAAAGTAGCTCCCTATGCTGTATGAAATGCCATCATACATACAGTATCATTCATAATAGCAAACAGATTGGAAACAACTTAGATGTCATCATCAGGATAATGTCAAATAGATTATGGCATGTATATATAATAAAATATCAAGCAGGTGTGTAAAAGAATGAGGGGGCCAGCATGGTGGCTAACACCTGTAATCCCCACACTTTGGGAGGCCAAGGCAGGCGGATCACCTCAGGTCAGGAGTTTGAAACCAGCCTGGCCAACATGGTGAAACTGTGTCTCTACTAAACATATAAAGATTAGCCAGGTGTGGTAGCGAGCACCTGTAATCCCAGCTACTCGGGAGGCTGAGACAGGAAATGAACCCAGGATGTGGAGGGTGCAGTTAGCTGAGATAATGCCACGGCACTCCAGCCTGTCCCAGGGTGACACAGCAAGACTCCATCTCAGAAAAAAAAAAAAAAAGAGGAAGCTTGTTCTGAACTGATACCATAAAATCGCCAAGACACCAAGATACATTGTTAGAAAACTGGTGAAATCCAAATAAAGTCTGTACTTTAGTTTTTTTAAAATATGCATTATTAGGTGGAAAAAGCAAGGTCAAAACAGTGAGTACAGTATGCTATCATCTGAATAAAAAAAGAAAGGTGGAAGGGAAGTATATATTTGTTTGTAAACAAATAGGATAATTGTAGAAAAACCCAAGAAATTACCTCTCCATAACCAGAGTAAATCAGAAAAAAAAAGAAATTACCTCCCCAGAAGGGAACTGCATAGCTGGAGGACAGGGGTGAGAGGCAGACTTTTGTCTGTGCACTTTTATGTAGCTTTTGAATTTTGAACCACATGAATATTACTTTTTTGAAATAAAATTAAAACTAAAATTAAAAAAAAACTGGGCAGGGCGCAGTGGCTCACGCCTGTAATCCCAGTACTTTGGGAGGCTGAGGCGGGCTAATTACCTCAGGTTGGGAGTTTGAGACCAGCCTGACCAACATGGATAAACCCCGTCTCTACTGAAAATGCAAAATTAACTGGGTTTGGTGGTGCATGCCTGTAATCTCAGCTACTCTGAGGCAGGAGAATCACTTGAACCCGAGTGGTGGAGGCTGCCATGAGCCAAGATCATGCCATTGCACTCCAGCCTGGGAAACAAGAGTGAAACTCCGTGTCAAAAGAAAACAAAAAACAAAAAACTGGTGGGGCGTGGTGGCTCAGGACTATAATTCTAGGACTTTGGGAAGCCAAGAATCACTTAAGACCAGAAGTTTGAGACCAGCCTAAGCAACACAGTAAGACCCTGTGTCTACAAAGGAAAATTAAAAATTAGCTGGGCACGGTGGCATGTACTTATAGTCCCAGCAACTCTGGAGACAGAGGCAGGAGGATCACTTGAGCCTAGGAGGTAAGGCTGCAGTGAGCTGTGATTGTACCACTCACCGCATTCCTGGTTAGGTAACAGAGTGAAACCTTCACTCAAAAAATAAAAAAGCTGAAAATGTGTGTAACCTGTGACCAAACAAGCCGACTTATGGAAAATCTGTGCCAAAATATGAGCATGAGCATGCAAAGTTATTCACTAAGTAATCAGGGTTTCTGAATAGAATGGGCATTTGACAGTTCTTCTACACAGAAAACCTGTTTATGCCGAGAATAGAGGTACTATAAAAATTAAGGCAGTGCTTTCCAAATTTATTACGAAGGACACCAGATTTTAAATTAAAAGCTGGGTGCAGGGCCAGGCGCGGTGGCTCAAGCCTGTAATCCCAGCACTTTGGGAGGCTGAGGCGGGTGGATCACGAGGTCAAGAGATCGAGACCATCCTGGTCAACATGGTGAAACTCCGTCTCTACTAAAAATACAAAAAATTAGCTGGGCATGGTGGTGCGTGCCTGTAATTCCAGCTACTCAGGAGGCTGAAGCAGGAGAATTGCCTGAACCCAGGAGGCGGAGGTTGCGGTGAGCCGAGATCGCGCCATTGCACTCCAGCCTGGGTAACAAGAGCGAAACTCCGACTCGGGAAAAAAAAAAAAATTAGCCAGTCATGGTGGCAAGCACCTGTAGTAGCAGCTACTCAGGAGGCTGAACCAGGAGAATTGCTTGAACCTGGGAGGCAGAGGTTGCAGTGAGCTGAGATCACGCCACTGCACTCCCAGCCTCGGCAACAGAGTGAGACTCCGTCTCAAAATAAATAAATAAAATAAATGAATAAAATAAGGTTCTGGTTAACACAGTGAAACCCTGTCTCTACTGAAAATACAAAAAATTAGCCGGGCATGGTGGCGAACACCTGCAGTCCCAGCTACTCAGGAGGCTGAGGCAGGAGAATAGCTTGAACCTAGGAGGCAGAGGTTGCAGTGAGCCAAGATTATGCTACTGCACTCCAGCCTGGGAGACAGAGTGAGACTCTGTCTCAAAAAAAAAATTATTTCATTTCTCCATTTTACTATCTGAGTTCATACAGTTCCCAAATTCAAACAGGTATCCTTGAGAGAATATTAGGATAACAGACTACAAAGTCTTCTAAGAATAAACACAAAGGAATGTGAAATCCCATGCAATCTTCCCCTAAGCTATAGCAAGACACTCGGAATAAAGGACTCACATAGTTGCTCTGTACATCATAGTGGGGCAAACAAGATAGCTGGGCCCAACTAGATAAATTTCATTTCACAAAACCCCCTTTTCCTCAATCAAATTAAGATCTACATGCTTGAGCCAGGTGCAGTGGCTCATGCCTGTAATCCCAGCACTTTGGGAGGCTGTGGCAGGCAGATCACGAGGTCAGCAGTTTGAGACAGCCTGGCCAACGTGGTGAAACCCTGGTCTCTACTAAATATACAAAAATTAGCCAGGCATACTGGCAGGTGCCTGTAATCCCAGCTACTTGGGAGGCTGAGGCAGGAGAATCGCTGGAACCCGGGAGGCAGAGTTTGTAGTAAGCAGAGATGGCGTCACTGCACTACAGCCTGGGGAACAAGAGCAAGACTCCGTAAGGATTTGTTAAAGAGAGCAATAAAGAATGGCCTGCTGTTGCCTGGACACAGTGGCTCACGCCTGTAATACCAACACTTTGGGAAGCCAAGGTGGGCGGATCACGAGGTCAAGAGATCAAGACCATCCTGGCCAACATGGTGAAACCCTATCTCTGCTAAAAATACAAAAATTTGCAGAGCATGTTGGCACATGCATGTAGTCCCAGTTACTTGGGAGGCTGAGGCAGAAGAATCACTTGAACCGGGAGCAGAGTTTGCAGTGAGCAGAGATCGCATCACTGCACTCCAGCCTGGTGACAGAGTGAGACTCGGTCTCAAAAAAAAAAAAGAATGGCCTGCCGTATAGTAACTACCAAGGTCTACAAACCAGCAAGCGTTTCTGGCTATTGCTAATTGACACTTGCATTCTAGAAGGGACTCTGAATGTACAACTTCCTCTGAGACCAACAGTAGTCCCAAATGACTCTGACAAACATCTATCAAATGTCTTGCTGGAAAGTACAGAGAAGAGGAACTCAAGAAGGGGCTGGTACCTTTGGGACCATAGATTTTGTGACCACTGATGCTCATGAGATCAATTTTCATGTCGTTGACATCAAGTGGGATTTTTCCAACAGCCTGGGCTGCATCAGTATGGAAATATACCTTTCTGGAACTGCAAATCTGCCCTGAGGAAACAACAGAGGGGAAGACCCACAGCAAAGTGTTGGGAAGTAATGTATCAGTATCCCACAATGCACTGTGAATTATCTCCACCAGCAGTAAATGACCTCCGTCAATATTAAACTCCTCCCCTCCTTCCACCTAACCCCTTATACTTCTTTTCCTTACCTCCTCTCCCTTCTCCCTTCCTCCCTCTCTCAGTCTCCCCAGCTTCCCTTCTTTAGAATAAAAAAGATGAAGGGCAAAGCAGCAGGTCAAAATACTCCTGATATTATCATGCATACTATACTTAAAACTTACCACGTCATTTACACCAGCCTTTCAAAATGTCAGATTTTCTTCCAGATCCCTTTTGATTTTAAAAAACAAACAAACAAACAAAAAACTAACAGCTCTTTGTGCTAATGTGCCTAAGGAGATTACAGGGTGAGCTCTATCTGGGAATAATAAAGAGATGTTCTAAAAGGAAAAAGGGTAGAAGCCTTTTTTTGTTTTGTGGTTGGTTTTGGAAGCAACTGCAATAAAAGGAAAAATCATAAAAAATACTAGACCTGCCTGGGCACAGTGGTTCATGCCTGTACTCTCGGCACTTTAGGAGGCCAAGGCAGGTGGATCATCTGAGGTTAGGAGTTTGAGACCAGCCTGGCCAACATGCTAAAACCTCGTTTCTACTAAAAGTACAAAAGTTAGCTAGGCATGGCGATGCATACCTGGTAGTCTCAGCTACTTGAGAGATTGAGGTGGGAGGATTGCTTGAGCCCAGGAGGCAGGCGTTGCAGTGAGCAAATATCATGCCACTGCACTCCAGCCTGGGTGACAGAGTGACACTCTGTCTCAATTTAAAAAAAAAAAAGGTACTAGACCTGAATTCAAATACTGGCTACGCCACTTACATTGTCCTTGAACAAAGTACTTAGACTCTCTTTCCCTTGATTTCCTAACTTCACTCCATAGAGTATTACAGTTATCAGTCTACTACCTCATACAGACCACCATGGTGGGCAGGGATCAGGGTTAACCCATGATACTCACCTATTTCTGCAATAGGCTGCTTCACTCCAATCTCATTGTTCACAGTCATGATTGAGACCAGACTAGTATCTGGCTGGATAGCAGCCTCTAGTTCCTAAGGATATGTAGGAGTAAGGTGACTAGATAGTGCAAACAAAGTCCTCCTAAATCAGAATATAGGCAAGCTTAGTCGTGAAAAGGAGCTTTATGCTAACGAGCTATCTGAATAGTTAACTAAAAACAGTGACAACACAGAATGTTGGTGAGGATGCATAGACTCTGAATGATTCATACATTGTTGGTGGGAATGTATGTCACAGCCACTTTAAAAAGAGTTTGACAGTTTCTGTTTCTCATCAAACTAAACATGAAATTACCATACAACCCGGTAACTGCACATTTGAGTATTTATCCCAGAGAAATAAAAATTAAATTCACAAAACATCTTACACAAATGTTCACAGTAACTTTATTCATAATAGCCAAAACCCAGAAACTACTCAGATGTCCTTCAATAGATGATTTTGGTATATCCATAACATGGACTACTGCTTACCAATCAAAAGGCACAAACTACTGGCACATGCAGCAATGAATGAATTCCCAAAGACTTATGATTAGTGAAAAAAGCCAGTCGAGGCCAGGAGTGGTGGCTCACGCCTGTAATCCCAGCACTTTGGGAGGCTGAGGTGGGTGGATCACCTGAGGTCAGAAGTTCAAGACCAGCCTGGCTAACATGAGAAACCCTGTCTCTACTAAAAATATAAAAATTAGCTGGGCATGGTGCGATAGTCCCAGCTACCTGGGAGCCTGAGGCAGGAGAAATGCTTGAACCGGGGAGGGGGAGGTTGCAGTGAGCTGAGATTGCACCAATGCAATCCAGCCTAGGCAACAGAGCGAGACTCCACCTCAAAAAAAAAAAAAAGAAAAGGAAGGGTGGATATGGTGGCTCACGCCTGTAATCCCAGCACTTTGGGAGGCCCAGATGGGAGGATCACCTGAGGTCAGGAGTTCAAGACCAGCGTGGCCAGCATGGTGAAACCCTGCCTCTACTAAAAGTGCAAAAATTAGCTGGGCGTGGTGGTACGTACCTGTAATCCTAGCTACTTGGGGAGAATTGCTTGAACCTGGGAGGCAGAGGTGCAGTGAGCTAAGATCGCACCACTGCCCAACAGCCTGGGTGATAGAGTGATATTCTATCTCAAAAAAAAAAAAAAAGAAAAAGAAAAAAGCCAATCCTACAAGACTGCATACTGTATGATTCCATTTACATGACAGTATGAATGACAAAATTAAAGAAACTGCCAGGTGTGGTAGCTCACGCCTGTAATCCCAACACTTCCGGAGGCCAAGGTGGGCAGATCACCTGAGGTCAGGAATTAAGACCAGCCTGGCCAACATGGTGAAACACCTTCTCTACTAAAAATATAAAAATTGGCCAGGTGCAGTGGCTCATGACTGTAATCCCAGCACTTTGGAAGGCTAAGGTGGGCAGATCATGAGGTCAAAAGTTTGAGACCAGCCTGGCCAACATGACGAAACTCCGTCCCTACTAAACATACAAAATAAGCCAGGTGTGTTGGTGCATGCCTGTAATCCCAGCTACTTGGGAGGCTAGTGCAGGAGAATTGCTTGAACGCAGGGGGCAGAGGTTGCAGGGAGCAGAGATCACACTATGGCACTCCAGCCTAGGCAACAAGAGAGAAACTCCATCTAAAAAACAAAAACCCCGCAAATGACAAAAGAAAAAATACATAGCTTTCTTTTTTGAAGTGAGGAAAATGTCCTGGAATATGACAGAGATGACTGTTGCAAACTCTGTGAATTGTACATTAAAAAATAGTGAATCATACAATTTCAAAAGATGAATTTTGTGGTACGTGTATTATTAATTTTTCCATTAAACTGGAAGTTAAATGGTACATGAATTATATCACAAATTTCTAAGGGCTTAAAAAAAGCACCAAGTAAAGAAATCTGAATGTCAGGCAAAATGAAATTATGCTTCATGCCAAAGGAAATGAGAAATCTCTCAAGATTTCTGAGTAAAGTGAGAAAAGGTCAAATGAGTACTTTGGAAATAAAGTCTGATAAGGATGTGCAGGACACGCTGGAAGGTTGTAACTAAAGGGCTACTTCAGGCAACAGAGATTAAAGTCCAGAGGTAGCTAAGACACAGGATATAATCCAGTCAAAGAAGTGAGAAGAGGCTGAGCAAGGTGGCTCACATCTGTAATTGCAGTGCTTTTGGAGGCCAAGGTAGGAGGATCGCTTGAGTCCAGGAGTTCACTACCAGCCTGGAGGACATAATGAGATGCTGCATCTATAAAAAATGCTTAAAAATTTAGCCAGGCTAGGCACGGTGGTTCATGCCTGTAATCCCAGCACTTTGGGGGGCCAAGGCGGGTGAATCACTTGAGGTCAAGAGTTTGAGACCAGCCAGGCCAAAACGATAAAACCCCTTCTCTACTAAAAATACAAAAAAATTAGCTGGGTGTGGTAGCATACACCTGTAGTCCTAGCTACTTGGGAGACTAAGGTGGGAGGATGGTTTGAATCCAGGAGGCAGAGGTTTCAGTGAGCTGGGATTTTGCCACTGCATTCCAGCTTGGGTGACGGAGCAATACTCCATCAAAAAACGAAACAAAAACAAAAATTTAGCCAGGTGAGGTGAGCCCAGGAGTCTGAGGCTGCAGTGAGCTATGACCATACCATTGCACTCTAGCCTGGATAACACAGCAAGACCCTGTCTCCAAAAAAAAGAAAAGAAAAGGAGACAGAAAGAGAGAAAGAGTGAGGGAGGGAGGGCAAAAGGGAAGAAGGGAGGAAAAGAAGCAGGGAGGAAGGAAGGGAGGGAGGGAAGAAGGAAGGGAGGGAGGGAGGAAGGGAGGGCAGGAGTCAGAGAAGGGAAAGTATAATTCCAGTGACATTATAAGAAAATGGCCATAGATATGAGTGTGAGTGATTGATGAATGAATGTGAAAAAGACAAAAAAGGGAGGAAATAATGAATGATAACAATTTAGAGTTTAAATTGAGGGGTCCATCTACAAACAGCATGTTAAGATTTGTCTAGGGATGCTGATATACAAAATCTGGTGGATAAGATTCAAGAAAATGATACCACTTCTTTAGCAGGATGAGAAGCATCAGTGCAGGGAAGGAGGAGGCCAGAGCTTTGCCATGGTGAATTTGAGTCCCTGGCATCCTGCATATGTGGCCAATGGCTCTCATACAAACCAGAAAACACCAACAATGGTAAGAAACATGTCTTCCAGGCCAGGCACAGTGGCTCATTCCTGTAATCCCAGCACTTTGGGAGGCCAAGATAGGCAGATCATCTGAGATCAGAAGTTCGAGACCAGCCTGACCAACATGGTGAAACCTCATCTCTACTAAAAATACAAAAATTAGCTGGGCCTGGTGGCAGGCACCTATAATCCCAGCTACTTGGGGGACTGAGGCAGAAGAATCGCTAGAACCCATGAGGCGGAGGTTGCAGTAAGCCTAGATCATGCCACTGCATTCCAGCCTGGGTGACAAGAGCAAAACTCTGTCTCAAAAAAAAAAAGAAAGAAAGAAAGAAACAAGTCCTCCTCCAGAGGTTGCAGTGAGTTGAGATCAGACCACAGCATTCTAGCCTGGGCAAGAGAGCAAGACTCCATCTCAAAAAAAAAAAAAAAAGAAAAGAAAAGTAAAAAAAACAAAAGAAACAAATCCTCCAGAGAAAAGGACAGTATACACTCAAGGGGAACATGATCTCTTTCTATGCCAGGCCTATTTCTCTAAACCTCACCCTAAATGTTAGATCTAGTCCTTCAAGCTCCAGTTAGAGCCCAAGAGAGAAATTTACAAGCTGAAGCCAGGCTCCTCCATTATTGCTCCTCATGCCAATAGCCACTCCTACCTTCAGGTCAATGATCCCACTCTTCTGCACTGGGAGGTAGGTGACCTGAAAGCCCTCAGCTTCCAGTGAACGGCAGGAGTCCAAGACACATTTGTGTTCTGTCTGGGTGGTGATCAAGTGCTTTTTCCGTGATCTGTAGAACCGGGCCACTCCCTAGAAATTGGTGGTGGGGATAGATGGAAGGAGAACATACTCAGAGAGACAGCAATGACTTTGATCTCATTTGTAAAGGAAAAGTGGGCAAGAACAGTACGCTCCAACACCAGTTCTCTCATACCAACTGAGTATCATATAATTCAATTCTGAGGCTAACTCCCCAGACTTAGTGAAAACCCCATGGGTTAAGGGCAAATCACACAGGACTGCCCCTAGTTCAGATGCCAGAAGTAAGTCCCAGGTCTCTTGAGCTACCCATACTCTGCCCAGCCAACTACAAATTCAGGGCTTCCTGAACGCCCCTCAAGTTAAATAATTTATTAGAATAACTAATATTTGTACAAACCCATAGAATGTACAACACCAGTGAATCTTTATGTAAGCTATGAACTTTGGGTGATAATGATAATGGTGTATCAATATCAGTTCACCAACTGGAACAAATGTATCACTTGATGGAGGATACTAATAATGGCAGAAGGCTATGCATGCCTGAGGGCAGGGCATATATGGGAAGTTTCTGTACCTTCCTTTCAATTTTGCTGTGAACCTAAAACGGCTATAAAAAATAAAGTCTACTGAAATAATAATAGTATACGGATTAATATAGGTATTTAAAAATCTGGAGAAAAATACAGCAAATTAACAGTGATTATGTTTTTAGAGAGTTCTACCCTATATTACTGGAAGATTTATGTTTCATTCATTGAACCAGTATTTAGCACCTATAATATGACAAGTAATTTTCTTGAAAAAAAAAAAAAAAACAAAACAAAAAACAAAGTCTTGCTCTGTAGCCAGGCTTGAGTGAAGTAGCACTATCCTGGCTCACTGCAACAACCTCCGCCTCCTGGGTTCAAGCAATTCTCTTGCGTGAGCCTCCTGAGTACTGGGACTACAGGCGCCCACCATCATGCCCCGCTAATTTTTGTTTTTAGTAGAGATGGTGTTTCACCATATCGGCCAGGCTGGTCTCGATCTCCCGACCTTGTGATCTACCTGCCTCAGCCTCCTAAAGTACTGGGATTACAGGCATGAGCCACTGCGCGTGGCCACGAAGTGATTTTCCTTTTTTTTTTTTGAGACAGAGTTTCGCTCTTGTTACCCAGCCTGGAGCGCAATGGCGCGATCTCGGCTCACCACAACCTCTGCTTGCTGGGTTCAAGCAATTCTTCTGCTTCAGCGCCCAGAGTATCTGGGTCTACAAGCGTGCACCACCGTGCCCAGCTAATTTTTACATTTTTAGTAGAGACGGGGTTTCACCATGTTGACTAGGATGGTCTCGATCTCCTGACCTCGTGATCCACCTGCCTCAGACTCCCACCAAAGTGCTGGGATTACAGGCGTGAGCCACTGCGCCCGGCCCACCAAGTGATTTTCTAGGTGCCAGCCTTATAACAGTAAACAAGTCATGAGTAGGTGTTACTTTTTTTTTTTGAGACGGAGTTTCGCTGTTGTTACCCAGACTGGAGTGCAATGGCACGATCTCGGCTCACAGCAACCTCTGCCTCCTGGGTTCCAGCAATTCTCCTGCTTCAGCCTCCGGAGTAGCTGGGACTACAGGCGTGCACCACCATGCCCAGCTAATTTTTGTATTTTTAGTAGAAACAGGGTTTCACCTTGTTGACCAGGATGGTCTCAATCTCTTGACCTCGTGATCCACCCGCCTCGGCCTCCCAAAGTGCTGGGATTATAGGTGTGAGCCACCGCGCCCAGCCCAGGTGTTACTTTTAATATCAGAAGAAACAATAAAGGTACGTTTAAAAATTCCTGGATTTTCAACTATTACAAGAAAATAAAGAACCATTCATCTCATTTAAGATAAAAAAAAAAAAGGGTCCAGGTGTAGTGGCTCATGCCAGTAATCCCGGTACTTTGGGAGGCCAAGTTGGGTGAATCGTCTAAGGCCAAGAATTTGAGACCAACCTGGTCAACATGGGGAAACCCCCTCTCTTAAAATACAAAACTTAGGCAGCCACAATAGCAGGTGCCTGTAGTCCCAGCTACTCAGGAGGCTAAGGCAGGAGAATCACTTGAACCCAGGAGACAGAGGTTGCAGTGAGCCAAGACCGTGCCATTGCAGTCCAGCCTGGGCAACAGAGCGAGATTCCATCTCAAAAAAAAAAGGAAGGAAAAAAAGGGCTGGATGCGGTGGTGGTGGTTCATGCCTATAATCCCACCACTTTGGGAGGCTAAAGCAGGAGGATCGCTTGAGCTCAGGATTTCGAGACCAGCCTGGGTAATGTAGTGAGACTTTATCTCTACTTAAAAAAAAAGAAAAAGATTAGCTGGGCATAGTGGTACACATCTGTAGTCCCAGCTACTCAGGAGGATCACCTGATCCCAGGAGGTCAAGGGCGTGGTGAGCTGAGATCTCGCCACTGCACTTCAGCCGGGGTGACAGCAAGACCCTGTCTCAAAAAAACGAAAAATGAAAAAAAACAAAAGGGGGCCAGGAGCAGTGGGTCACACCTGCAATCTCAGCACTTCGGGAGGCCAAGGCAAGGGGATCACTTAAGGTCAGGAGTTCGAGACCAGCCTGGCCAACATGATGAAACCATGTCAATACTAAAAATACAAAAATTAGCCAGGGGTGGTGTTTGGCACCTGTAATCCCAGCAGCTCGGGAGGCTGAGACAGGAGAATCACTTGAACCTGGGATGCAGAGGTTGCAATGAGCAGAGATTGTGCTACTGCACGCCAGCCTGGGTGACAGAGCAAGACTCCATTTCAAAAAAAAAAAATTCATATGTATGTACAATTTTTTACATACCTATATATATACATACCTGAAACAATACTAAACAAAATTAGTTTACAATTAACAGGATAAGCCTGGGTGCAGTGGCTCACACCTGTAATCCCAGCACTTTGGGAGGCCTAGGTGGGCAGATCACCTGAGGTCATGAGTTCAAGACCAGTCTGGCCAACATGAGGAAAGCCCGGATCTACTGAAAATACAAAAATTAGCTGGGCATGGTGACAGGCACCTGTAATCTCAGCTACTTGGGAGGCTGAGGCAGGAGAATCACTTGAACCCTGGAGGTAAAGGTTGCAGTGAGACAAGATTGTACCACTGCACTCCAGCCTGGGGGAGAGAGAGAGAGTGAGACTCCCTCTCAAAAAAAAAAAAAGAATTAACACTATCAATTTTGTAGAGCAGGATCAGGGATTAGGGTTCCTGGGGGAAGGAGAGGAAGATTTACACTTCATTTTATTTTATTAATTTTATTTTTATTTATTTATTTTTTGAGACAGTCTTGGTCTGTCACCCAGGCTGGAGTGCAGTGGCTCGATTTCAGCTCACTGCAACCTCTGACTCCGAAGTTCAAGCGATTCTCTTGTCTCAGCCTCCCAAGTAGCTGAGACTACAGGTATGCACCACCATGCCCGGCTAATTCTTTTGTATTTTTCAGTAGACAAAGGGTTTCGTCATGTTGCCCAGGGTGGCCTCCAACTCCTGAGCTCAGACAACCTGCCAGCCTTGACCTCCTAAAGTGCTAGAATTACAGGCATGACCAACTGCACCTGGCCTACATTTCATTTTAAATATTTCCATTGGTTTGGAAAAAACACACTATACGTGACAGAATCATTTTTCAAAAATTAAAGTTGAAAGAAAGTACATCTCCCCCCAGAACTTACAAAAGACTATTACGTTTAAAAACAGAATATAAAGGTACAGTGGCTCAAGCCTGTAATCCCAGAACTTTGGGAGGTAAAGGCAGGAGGATCACTTGAGCCCAGGAGTTCAAGACCAGCCTGGGCAACATAGTGAGATCCCATCTCTAAAAAATTAAAATAAAAAAATTAGCCAGGTGTCGTAGCACATGCCTGTAGGCCTATAGCTACCTTGGGAGGCTAAGATGAGGGGATCTCTTGAGGCCAGAAGTTCAAGGTTGCAGTGAGCTATGAATGCACCACTGCACCACCTCAGCCTGGGTGACAGAGTGAGACCTTTTCTTTTTATTGAGTGTGTGACAGAGTCTCACTCTGTCACCCAGGCTGGAGTACAATTGTGTGATCTCGGCTTACCTCACTGCAACCTCCGCCTCCCAGGTTCAAGCAATACTCCTGCCTCAGTCTCCTGAGTAGCTGGGATTACAGGTGCCTACCACCACGGCTGGCTAATTTTTGTATTTTTAGTAGAGACAGATTTCACCATGTAGGTTAGGCTGGTCTCAAACTCCTGACCTTAGGTGATGCACCCGCCTTGGCCTCCCAAAGTGCTTGGGATTACAGGTGTGAACCACCGGGCCCGGATGAGACTCTGCCTTATAAAAAATAGATAAATAAAATAAAGCAGAATATTAAGCCATATAGGCCAAAATTATAACTATGTAAACATAGTCTGTTCACAAGGATAAGGAACATAAAAGAAAAACATTTATAATTGACTTATACTCTATTTTATCCCAAAAAATATTTACATAAGGAATGTAAAAATGGTTGGGGATGGTGAGGGTAGTTCGAAATGTTACAGTTGTTTATTAAAATTTAATTTAAATGGTATTTCACCAGCCACCCATCTTATTTTATTTCAGTTACCCATGATGTAGATTTCTTTAATAACTTAACAGATTATTTTACTAGATGCATGATGGCAATTAAAAGAAACACCATCACAGCTACTCTTAGTGATCCTTTAGGTATGGAATCTTTGGAGACTTCCAAAGCAAATATTTTCAAGGTTTTGAAAATACTCTCAATTTCAGAAACCATCTGCACCTTTGGAGGGACCTTCACCCTGACTCTCTGGTCCCTGCAGTCCCGAGGAAGGATGCCTTCCTGCTAACATGATCAGGCACAGTGCTGATGACCCTGGAGCCTGTCCTAGGACTCCTACATTCAGGCCAAGGTCAAAGAAACCAACGCTAGCAGCACAGTTCAGAGTCAAAGATGAGAGTGAGTAGAGCCAGAGCTCAACCTACAGCAAGCCACAGTTTCTCCAAGCCTTGGCATTTACTCAAGTACTCCTGGCAACCAGGCCCAGTGAAATGTGATTATATTCTATGAAACACCAACATGACTGTCAGGCCTCCATGTGCAAGCCTGGACCCAGAAAGTCTAAAGTCCTGCCTGCCTCGGCTGATCACCCCGATCGCCCTGTGGAGCTACGCCAAGCCCCCCAACCCCCAACCTTGTAAGTAAGATAACTACTCTTATCCCACCTGCCAATGTAACTGAACTCATAGTAATGTATACTCCTTGCCCCTACTCCCACCACTGTAACTGATCTTACTCTGTAACTTTCCACTGCCCACCCCAAACCTATAAAACCAACCCCTATCCCACTGCCCTTCACTGATGCCCTTTTCAGCCTCAGCCCACCTGCACCCAGGTGAATAAACAGCCGTATTGCTCACAAAAAGCCTGTTTAGGGGGTCTCTTCATTCAAAGCTCTGTTTTTAACAGTAACTACTAAAAGTACCATTTTCCTTCCATTAGCACCAAAGATTTTGTATGTATGAAGTACAAAATGAATGATACCATAACGGGTGACCATGTGAATACCTGCAGAGGGCACCACAAAGACAAGCACTTCAAAATGGTGCAATAATTTTTTTTTTTTTTTTTTCGAGACGGAGTTTCACTCTTGTTACCCAGGCTGGAGAGCAATGGCGCGATCTCGGCTCACCGCAACCTCCGCCTCCTGGGTTCAAGCAAGTCTCCCGCCTCAGCCTCCTGAGTAGCTGGGATTACAGGCATGTGCCACCATGCCCAGATATTTTTTTGTATTTTTAGTAGAGACGGGGTTTCACCATGTTGACCAGGACGGTCTCGATCTCTCGACCTCATGATGCACCCGCCTTGGCCTCCCAGAGTGCTGGGATTACAGGCTTGAGCCACCGCGCCCAGCTAATTTTTTGTATTTTTAGTAGAGACGGGGTTTCACCATGTTGACCAGGACGGTCTTGATCTCTCGACCTCGTGATGCACCCGCCTCGGCCTCCCAGAGTGCTGGGATTACAGGCTTGAGCCACCGCGTCCAGCTAATTTTTTGTATTTTTAGTAGAGACGGGGTTTCACCATGTTGACCAGGACGGTCTCGATCTCTCGACCTCGTGATGCACCCGCCTCGGCCTCCCAGAGTGCTGGGATTACAGGCTTGAGCCACCGCGCCCAGCTAATTTTTTGTATTTTTAGTAGAGACGGGGTTTCACCATGTTGACCAGGACGGTCTCGATCTCTCGACCTCGTGATGCACCCGCCTCGGCCTCCCAGAGTGCTGGGATTACAGGCTTGAGCCACCGGGCCCAGCTAATTTTTTGTATTTTTAGTAGAGACGGGGTTTCACCATGTTGACCAGGATGGTATCGATCTCTCGACCTCGTGATGCACCCGCCTCGGCCTCCCAGAGTGCTGGGATTACAGGCATGAGCCACCGCGCCCGGCTAATTTTTTGTATTTTTAGTAGAGACGGGGTTTCACCATGTTGACCAGGATGGTCTCGATCTCTCGACCTCGTGATGCACCCGCCTCGGCCTCCCAGAGTGCTGGAATTACAGGCGTGAGCCACCACACCCGGCCCCAAAATGGAGATGTCTGAAGAAACAGGAGGAACTTGCTACAAACAAATCTGATCGGAAAGAAAAAGGAAGGCTGAGAGGAGGGCAGCCCTAAAATCACACGCGTAACTCATTGTTACTAGATAAAAAGAAAAGAGAAAAGGTTCAATCACCATTATTATCCACTCTCTGAAGTAAGTGCCAGACAAAAAAAAAAAAAAAAAAATTGGTTAATGGCCTGAGGACCACCTCCTCTGCTATCCAACTACCTCACTCAACTCAGACCAATAGGAGCAAATACTTAAGAAAGAGTAGATTGAAGAGGGGTAAGGGAAGCAACAAATCAGAAATATCGTAAGCCTTCTCTTCACAAGAGGGTGGGGATGGATGGCTAGGAAATACATATACGAATCCAAATGATGGAGGGACACTATCTCCCAGGTCAGAAAAACCCAGATATGCCCTCTGGTTCCCTTCTCTTACCTTGATTGCTATGTTGTTGGATTCAGTAGCACCACTAGTAAAAATGATCTCTCGAGGATCCGCTCCAATCAGAGATGCTACTTGCTGCAAGCCAAGAAACAGAGATATATAACGTCAATACCCCAGCAGAAATAGACCGCAGACACAGGTCAGACAGCCTGGAGCAAGAAGAGCTCCACTGCATTCCACCAAATTGCCCTGGAAGAAGCTACTAGAATCAGATTCTAGTTATAACCCAGATCCAGTCTCTTTTCGAGCCGGGTGGAATTTTCCCAAAGTTGGAAAGAAGTCTTCAAAGCAAGGCCGGGCGCGGTGGCTCACGCCTATAATCCCAGCACTTTGGGAGGCTGAGGCGGGTGGACCGCAAGGTCAAGAGATCGAGACCATCCTGGTCAGCAAGGTGAAACCCCGTCTCTACTAAAAATACAAAATTAGCTGGTCATGGTGGTACACGCCTGTAGTCCCAGCTACTCGGGAGGCTGAGGCAGGAGAATTGCTTGAACCCAGAAGGCGGAGGTTGCAGTGAGCCGAGATCGTGCCATTGCACTCCAGTCTGGGTAACAACAACAAAACTCCGTCTCAAAAAAAAAGAAGTCTTCAAAGCAAAAATCTTACTGAAGTCTCTTAACAGTGTAATGATTGAAGGCAAAAACAGATTCAAAATGAGACCCCTTAATTCGTGTAGCTAGCTGCTCCAACACTGTGTGACCTTGGACAAGTAAATTACCTCTCAAGCATATCTTTCATTTCCTGATTTAAAAGGGAACATATTCAGGCTGGGCATGGTGGCTCATGCCTATAATCCCAGCACTTTGGGAGGCTGAGGTGGGCGGCTCACCTGAGATCAGAATTTCAAGAGCAGCCTGACCAACATGGAGAAACCCTATCTCTACTAAAAATACAAAATTAGCCAGGCGTGGTGGCGCATGCCTGTAATCCCAGCTACTTGGGAGGCTGAGAGAGGAGACTCGCTAGAACCCAGGAAGCGGAGGTTGTGGTGAGCTGAGATGGTACCATTGCATTCCAGCCTGGCCAACAAGAGCAAAATTCTGTCTCAAAAAATAAATAAACAAAAACATTAACCAGGCATGGGGGTGTGTGCCTGTAATCCCAGCTACCTGGGAGGCTGAGGCATAAGAATCGTTTGAACCCGGGAGGCTGAGGTTCCAGTGAGCCAAGATGATTGTGCTACTACACTCCAGCCTGGGTAACAAGAGTGAAAACTCCATCTTAAAGAAACAAAGAAATAAACAAAGATGAACTACTGAGCTCTTATTACTTATTGTACTTCTTACTTGCAGCTATTGTGTTAATAAACACTTTACTAGCATTGTTTTATTTAATCTACCCAGTGACGCTACAGAGTAGAAACTATTACAATCTCCATTTTAAATGTGAGGAAAATAAGGCTTAGAGAAATTAGATAACTTGCCTAAGTCATTTTGCCAGGAAATATGGGAACTAACGAAATGCCTGCAGTCAGTCCAACTCCAAGGCTGCTCTCTGAATCTCTTCCAGAAAGAATCCAAAAGCATTTCTACCTCCACACAATCCTACCAAGAAAGAAATGTCTTCCATAGACCACTGCCCCTTTCTGACCTCAGAACGTCCTAGACTCCCGTGTACTAACCTGGCGAGCACGTTCCATGGCTGCCTCACTCTCCCAGCCATATGCATGTGTCCGGGAGTGTGGGTTCCCATAGTAGTTGACTAGGTAAGGGAGCATGGCATCAAGCACCCGGGGGTCCTGAGCACAACAGAACAGATCAGTTTCCTTGAGCCCATCGTCAATTCAGGTCCCACTCCACCCCTCAGACCTGCCCACCCTGCCTCAAGACACTGAACCCCTCAGGCACTGCCTAGAGGAGGCCTCAAACATTCTTTTGTTCTCACAAAAGCACCCACAAAATATCAACCTAATACACTCCCACTCACAACCCATCCCAACTCGGACTGTTCGGCCGTCCCCTCCGTTAGTCTACAAACACTGCCTTATTCTGACATGTTTCTGTTGCTGTTTCCATTCCTGCCAGGCAATGTGATCTATGAAGGTCTGGGACAGGTCGGGGCCTAGGCAAACACCCCTTGTCGCACATCGGTGAAAACTTGTATCAGTCTTTTAACGCATTTAATACTAGTCCAAGTTCACACGGTTACTAATGGCAGTTCTGCTCATTCCAGAGCCCATGCTTTTAACGACTACTATAGAGCCCGTGCTGGCGTTATCTGACCAAGGTCAGTTGCTGGTGAACAGTAAAACCACTGCCAGTGGCCTCGAATTTTTTAAGCCTTCCGACTCCTGGCTCGGTGCTTTTTCCAGCACACGTTCATGTCTCTCACTTCTCCAGGGATCCAGCCATTTCCTTGCGTGGTCACACCCATCGTTTACTTCCTAGAAGCAGCCTTGGCAAAGGCTCCATCCTTACCAAAGGAGTAGTAGCTTGCACATCCATATAGAGAGGCCGCAGCACGGGCCCCGCCTCCGGGGCAGCAGCCGTATCTGCAGGAACGGCAGACCGAGGAGCACAGTCTCTCACTGAAAAAAATGGAGAGGAGTGGCCAAGTAAGAGCGAGTGTGACTATGAATGCAGGGCATCCAAAGGGCAGAAGGGAAAATCTGGCTGGAGGTTAGTGTAAGGGATGCTGGGATCGAATCTCAATGAAAAGGAAACAGCACCAGAGACCTGACACGCTCGCTGTAAAAGGAGGTAAAGAAGAGGGAGAGAGGCTTCCTGGAGGGCATGTTGGGGTGATATTCAAATGGTCTCGTAGGGAGTGAGGAAGGCTGAAAGGGCAAAGCCGCTTAGAAGGAACGGGGAGCCAGAGTAGGCGCAGTCCCTTCCGAAGGTAAGGTCTGCGGGGAAGCCCGGAGCAGCATCCGTAACTCGGCCAGGAGCGGTCAGAAGGACGCGCCTCCACGGCTCTGGGGCCCTGTCGCGCAGGGTGCGAGGGGTGGTGCGCCGGGGTCAACCGTTCAGGGACCCTCCTGAGAAAGTCTGAGGAATGAATGTGTCGTTGAAAGTAAGTTTGAGAGAAAGGGTCAGCAGTAGGGTGGCCGGGAAGGCTCCGGAACGTTCAGCGGCGTCGTCGCGCAGGGCGGGGGACAGGTCCGCGCCTCACAGCAAGCAGAACCCAAGCGTACCGCGCAGGCGCAGCCCCCGAGTGGGCGCCGCAGCCTTCGGCCCTGTGGCCGCCGTCACCGCCACCGCCGCCCGCCTCCAAGCGGCTCGGAGCAGCATGATCCCGCTGGCGGAGCCCACCACCCGACGCGGCTGCAGTCCTGCGTCCCAGGCTCCCGGAAGTGCTGCTGCACGCTCCGGAAACGATTCCTCGGGTCGCTAGCGCCCTCCCCGTCGTTTTCCGTGACAGACGTAGAGCTGAGCGACCGAGGCCGCGAGCGAGGTGAGGTGTGTGCCGGGCGACGCGCGTCCGGAACGGAGGAGGCTGGTGGAGTCGGGCTACGCGCTGCTTTTCCTTCCCAGACTTTCCCTGAGCCCTTGGGCCCCCTTCCCAGCCTCCCGCGTCTGTCCCCGCGCGACTCTCGGGCTGGCGCCCGGGCCCACACTTTCCTATCCCCCGCACCCCGCAGATGCCGGTGGCCGTGGGTCCCTACGGACAGTCCCAGCCAAGCTGCTTCGACCGCGTCAAGATGGGCTTCGTGATGGGTTGCGCCGTGGGCATGGCGGCCGGGGCGCTCTTCGGCACCTTTTCCTGTCTCAGGTGAGAGGCGCAGGCGGTGATCTCCGGGCAGGGCAGCCAGACCTTCCGGCCCTTCCCCATTCGACCTGGAGCCTGAACAGAGCCTCCTTCTTCCCACCTCCCTCGCTGTCCCTTCGCCAAGCCAGGCTCTTTACAAAACTGCCTTCAGTCTGGAAGGTCAATTTGAGCTTTAGAGTCAGAATGCTTTCTCGCCCTTCTTTTACCGATGCGGTGACTTTAGGCAAGTCGGAGACTGGGTTTCCTCGATGTAGAATGAAGACAGCAGCACCCACCTTACAGAGGTCTAAAAATTCGATCAGCACACTTCGCACAGCCGCAGCATCTGGCACATATTAAGATGTGCTCAGCCACTGGTTACTGCTGTTGCTGTTATTTTTATTTCCAATTGCGCGTGGGAAAGAAGCTTGTTGAGCGGTTTTACTATTCTGGATACAGGACACAGAAACAAAGCAGATAAACCTCACACTCCGAAGGTCATTTTTACACTTAGGGGCTGTTATTGCCATATCTCCACATTGTAAATTGCCATTTACGAGCATTTACTGCATGTTGAGCCCTGTGCCAAATGCTGTAGTTTTCAAAACCATCCTGTAAATAATGTTGAGATGCCCATTTTACACTTGACATAACGTGTAAATTGCAGAGCTGACTCTTGAATCCCAACCTTACTCCACAATCATTAACACCAAAAAACTGTCTAAAAGACAGATGTCTTTATTGAGTCACATTTAACCTGAAGGCAAAACCAGTCCTAAAAGCTGGTTTCTCTGTATTTTACACTGCATCTGCTGCCTCCTACAAACTGAAGGTAGTTAATACATTCCCGAAGAATGCCCTGGATACCCAGATGGATCTTTTTCATTACCAACCCCAGGTAAGAGATAATATGTAGTAAGTGGAAAATGAGATGTAGGGGTTGCTAAACTAGTGTTAGCAAAAACTTGGAAAGCGGCAGTTAATACTATTTCCGGTATATTTGTCATCAAATAGCCCCATCTTGGTTTCCTCCTCAGGATCGGAATGCGAGGTCGGGAGCTGATGGGCGGCATTGGGAAAACCATGATGCAGAGTGGCGGCACCTTTGGCACATTCATGGCCATCGGGATGGGCATCCGATGCTAACCATGGTTGCCGACTACATCCACCCTTTTCCATCAATCCCAGCCCATGTACTAATAAAAGAAAGTCTTTGAGTAGTCTCAGTGTCCCTCTCTTAAAGGCATTTTATTCTCTCAGGCTATTATCCAGCGTTGCCAAAGGTCAGCAGTGGAGATGGACTAATGTAATGACTAGGGTTAGGGTCTCTTTCATAAGGTCTGGTACTCTTAATCCAAAATTGGAAAACCTGGGATTGTCTAGTACTTTCCATAGATACTCGTCAACTAATTACTCAGTAAACTCTGTGCTTGTTGATAACAGTCACCATTTTAAAGGAGAAAAACTATTTCAAAAAATGGATTTATAAGCCTAAATTTCCTCAAGGTCACACATTACATTATTTCCAAAGCATTATTTATCCTGAGTTTTTCTTTTTCCAAGACGGAGTCTTGCTCTGTCACCCAGGCTGGAGTGCAATGGCATGATCTTGGCTCACTGCAACCTCCGTTTCCTGGGTTCAAGCAATTCTCCTTGTGTTAAGTCTCCAGAGAACCTGAGATTACAGTCATGTGCCACCATGCCCGCTTATTTTTGTATTCTTAGTAGAGACAAGGTTTCACCATGTTGGCCAGGTTGGTCTCCAACTCTTGACCTTGTGATCCACCTGCCTCAGCTTCCCAAAGTGCTGGGATTACAGGTATGAGGCATTGTGCCCAGCTTGAGGTTGTTTAGATATACCTATTAGCTTTATCAGATAAAGCAAAATATCCACTATGAAACAAATTAGAAACATCAACCACTTCTGCAGCTTCTCAACTGGCTAAATTCCAAATGATTTTCTAACCAATCATCAATCTAAACTATATAGCTTACCCTCTGCAAACTAGTTTGATAAGAAGCTTCTGTAGTGAGGCAGTTGTCCATGTCACCTGCCTAGGCCACACAGACCTTGTTGGAGCTACTAACCTGCACTGCTCATTAAGTATTTCTTAAACAGAACTTTCACATTGTTAAAAAGATAGAAGAAATTAGATGAACACTTTGGAACACTGACATGAAGGAGGAAATTAAGGACACTGTAAGATTAGCTACAGATTTTCAAACCAGTGGGATGCAGACTCAGGAACTGACCACATACACGTAAACAGTTTCACTGAGAATGAGCCATTTTCCATGTGCCACGCTATTCAAGACACATTTACAATGCATATTTAACAAAATGGCTTAACCTCAAACTGGTTTCCCAAATTGATTTAGCTCCACATATAGTCCTCCAACCACATTTCCTCTGAATGTTATCTACACACCAAATTTCATTCTCAGGTAGTGGCTAAATTTTAGCCACCCCATTTTTAATACTAGATGAGATTAACTACTAAAAGCCATGTTTGCTGGCCCAGCTCCCTAGAAAGCAATGACATGACAAATTTGTTAGGAGGGCTTAGTAAAAGGGGAAAAAATTGTAACCAGGGGGGAAAAAAGTACACTGACAGAATATCACTGCCCCAAAGAACACTGCACTCTGGTATCAAAAAATAAATTGAGGCTAGGTGCGGTGGTTCATGCCTGTAATTGCAGCACTTTGGGAGGCTGAGGTGGGCGTATCACCTAAGGTCAGTTTGAGACCAGCCTTACTAACACAGCATAACATCGTCTCTACTAAAAATACAAAAACTAGCTGGGCACGGTGGTGTGCATTTGCGTCCTAGCTATTCATGAAGCTGAGCTGGGAAAATTGCTTGAATCTGGGAGGTGGAGCCAAGATCACACCACTGCACTCCAGCCTGAGCCAAAGAACAAGACTCCATCGCAGAAACAAAAAGAAATTGAACCTTGAGAGTTTTCATTCAAATTAAATCACTAGAATAATAGGATAAATGTCAAACAAAATGATTGCTATGAAATTGATGCCGCCCCCCCCCCCCAAACTCAACCTCTCTAAATAAAACTGAGGGCCGGGTGCGGTGGCTCATGCCTGTAATCCCAGCACTTGGGAGGCCGAGGCGGGCGGATCAAGAGATCAAGACCATCCTGGCTATGGTGAAACCCCATCTCTACTAAAAATACAAAAATGAGCCAGGTGTGGTGGAACGCACCTGTGGTCCCAGCTACTCGGGAGGCTGAGGCAGAAGAACTGCTTGAATCCAGGCGGAGGTTGCAGTGAGCCAAGATTGCACCACTGCACTCCAGCCTGGTGACAGAGTAAGACTCCGTCACCAAAAAAAAAAAAAAAAAAAAAAAAACCAATCTGAATAACATTATAAAATTTGTGCTTCAATGCTAACAACCAAAATGGTAAACATTTGGTAAGAAGCTTCTGTAGTGAGGCAGTTGTCCATCTCACCTGCCTAAGCAAGAAAATCGGTATTTGAAGGTAAAATTTAGGAGCACCACTACCTACTCAAGATTTGACCAAGATAGAAAAAGTTGAAGAGAATTGAGTATAAATGGTGTTGCTTGCTTCCCAACTAGTATGAAAGCTCAAAATTGCTTACTACATTAATATATGGAGCTAAATCATTTTGGGAAACCAGGTTGAAATTAAGCCATTTTGTTAAATATGTATTTTAAATGGTAAAGTTTTCTTCACAATTATACCCAGATAATGCAGGAGACCAAGAATGCCCAGGTTGGGCATGGCTATCTGTTTGCTTTTCCTTTTGGTAAACCCTAGTTTTGATAAATTACACAGGACTAATATTTTAGAATAATGGCATAAAGGAAGTCATGGGGGCAACATGAAGACAAGTTTCCACAGACATGGCACATTTTTCCCAAAGCGGCAAGTACTGAATCACAACTTAAAGAGGGTAATACTCTATTCTAAAATTTTGGTAACTTCAAAACATTTGAAAAATGAAGATTTCCTGTGGCCTTTTTAAGAGACTTTTATTTGAGTGGTTCTTACAAAGATTGTTGCAATATGAAAGTCATTTGTTTGATAGAAATATCAAGCTGTCTTGTCAAACACACTGAAGTAACCCAAAAATATATTTCAGAGCTCACAGAGCTTAAAAAGAGCAAAGATTATATGCAACCAGACAAAACCTATGTCTGCATTTCCTATTTTTCAGACTCTTTCGCTTACCAGATTCTCACTAAACATCTTCAGGAAATGCAGGGATCATTTTGTTTGGAATTTTAAGACACACCAGAACACATAGTATTTACAAAGAAACTTTTACAGATACATTAATTGAAAAGATACCATCAAGAAATATTGTAATTTTGAAATCTCCCTTTACTGCCACTTAATCAGAATGCAAGATGAGATGCTAACAAGCAGCCCTTACGCTGTCTTGTATTTCCACACACTAAATGTGTATTTCAGAAACCTGCTCAACCATCAGCCCAGATATCAACATTAGTGAAGTGTGGATGTAACTGCTGTGTACAAAGTTAGGCTTCTGAAACATTAAAAACATTACATCCCTGGTCTGCCTTTTTACAGAAAGCACATTTGTTCTCCTAGAGCTATTCCTATAGTTCATTAATTTTCTACATGAACATTTTAAAAGGCAGAACAAAAGAACAGTTTTGTATACAGTGGGATTTGCTATTTAGGGAGAATGAGCACACTGCATTCCTGTTAACATTTTTATTTTTTCAAGGTAACAGGAGTTGTATACAAATGACAGTAGATCCTTGCCTCTTTATTTTTATCTAAATAAAAGATAACTCAAGATGAATTCTCAAGAAAGAAAAAAAGCTATATACATAGGAGACTTAATCTTCCTTCATCGTCTACTTGGAACCAGTAGTTGTGTTGCTGTCATAGAATCAGGAAACAGGTTGTGGTAAGTTGGAAGAGGTACATATGCTGCCGTTATCATTTTACCTGTTGAAAGGAACAGACATGTTGGGTTTATCATCTTCGTTTTAGAGCGTTAATAATGACTGAAAGAAATAAATTAAAACTCACCAGCAAACCACCTGCCATGCAATGCATTGACAGCAGCAATAGCTGCAGCAATTGACGGGCACTTCACATACACATTGCCCTAAAACACAGAAAAGCAAAAAAGGTAAAATGTTGCTGTATGCAAAATGGACCAAGATGAGTTTATTCAAGTTGACTGTAGAGACTTAGTACTCTATAACCACAAAATGGTTTATGATAATTGTTCCACTGGCTAATAAGTATACACAGAATTTAACTGAAAAATGACTTACACTACCCAACTTGCCCTGTTCTATCTTTTCTCTATAATTTGTATGCAGCCTAAGAATAAATAAAGATGCCAAGATTTCACAGCAAGCTTTGAACAGTACTAGAAACTCCTCCGATACCCTGATCAAATTGTTACTGATTTTCTTTTATTTTGGAGGGTTTATTTTAGCCACTCATTAAAGCTACTTACAGGCGCACATACACACAAAAAAAAACTACTATAATGGAGCACAGTGACCATAACATGCACTACATATATGTCAAGATTAAGGTGGAGAGGAACAACCTATCATTTATAAAAAATATAAAAATACCTGAGCTGAATTTTTGTCAACATAAATATGAATAACTCCTCCGTGCTTATTACATTCTTCAATCACATCATCCTTAATCTCTGTATCCCATCCAACTTCTTCTTCTCTGTAAGAAAGCATTTAGTCTTAAATACTATTGAAACACACTGTATATATTTACAAATGTTATTTAAAAAATTAAATATTCTATGAATTAAAAAATACATATATTTAGGTTCCTATCCGAGTCACAGCACCAGAACAACCAACAAAAAACTTAGGCTGGGCATGGTGGCTCACGCCTGTAATCCCAGTACTTTGGGAGGCCAAGGTGGGCAGGAATTTGAGACTGGTCTGGCCAACATGGAGAAACCCTGTCTCTACTGATAATACACAAATCAGCCAGGCATGGCGGTAGGCGCCTATAATCCCAGCTACTGGTGAGGCTGAAGCAGGAGAAGCACATGAGCCCAGGAGGCGGAGGTTACAGTGAACCGAAATCGCACCATTGCACTCCAGCCTGGGTGACATGAGTGAAACTCCGTCTCAAAACAAAAAACAAAACAAAAAAAAAAAAACCAAAAATTAGGCATTATGACACATACATTTAATCCCAGCATTCTGGGGAACTGAAGCAAGCAGATCACTTAAAGCTCAGGAGTTTGAGACCAGCCTGGCCAACATAGCAAAACACTGTCTCTACTAAAAACACAAAAATTAGTTGGGAGTGGTGGCGTGCACTTGTAATCCCATCTACTGAGAAGGCTGAGACACGAGAATTGCTTGAACCTGGAAGATGGAGGTTGTAATGAGCTGAGATAGCACCGGTGGTGCCACTGCACTCCAGCCTGGAGTGAGACTGTCTTCAAAAAAACCCCCACAGTTAAACAATGCTATCTTTCAAATGATACAACAAAAGTCTGTCACCATTTCATCGATAAAGCTAAAATAAATTTGGTATTGAGAAAAGAAAAGAATCCAAGACGTTTTGGATTAAACAGTCACACAATAGTCATTATGGACTTTCAAGACCCGTGTGGGCAACATGGTAAAACCCTGTCTTCATAAAAAAAAACAAAGAAATTAGCGCCTCTACTCCCAACTACTCAGGAGGCAGAGGTGGGAGGATCGTTTAAGCCTGGGAGGTGGAGGCTAAGTGAGCCGAGATGAGTAGCAGAGTGAGACCCTGTCTCAAAAAAAGAAAAAAAGAAATATTCATATCAGTCAATAATCGAAGAAAATTTTTTTTTTTTATTATGAGACAGTTTCACTCCTGTTGCTTGAGGCTGGTGGGGGTGCAATGGCATGACTTCGGCTCACTGCAACCTTTGCCTCCTGGGTTCAAGCCATTCTGCCTCAGCCTCCCGAGTAGCTGGGATTACAGGCATGCACCGCCACGCCCAGCTAATTTTGTGTTTTTAGTAGACGGGTTTCTCCATGTTGGTCAGGCTAGTCTCGATTGCCCGACCTCAGGTGATCTGCCTGCCTTGGCCTCCCAAAATGCTGGGATTACAGGTCTGAGCCACTTCGCCCAGCCAAAAAGAAACATTTTAATAATTTTTTAGTATTAAACTAAAAAGCTTAAAATTTCAAAGCCCCCAAAAATCTTGAGGGCAGACTGGTTGACAAGTAAATACATCAGAGAAAACTACTTAGAAATAAAAAGAAAACAGATAATCTGCCTAGCTTTTAATACAATTCCAGTCTTATGCTCCACCTGCCTGGGCCTCCCAAAGTGTTGGGATTACCGCCATGAGCCACCACATGCAGCTAAAAAATTATTTTAAAAGCATCAGAACTATTGCACTTTCAATTATAAAATATATATATTTTTGGAGATGCGAGTTTTGCTCTTATAGCCCAGGCTAGAATGCAATGGTGTGACCCCCACAACCTCTGCCTCCCAGGTTCAAGTGGTTCTTCTGCCTTAGCAGGATTACAGGCATGTGCCACCACGCCTGGCTAATTTTGCATTTTTAATTGACACGGGTGGGGTTTCTCCATGTTGGTCAGGCTGGTATCAACCTCCAAACCTCAGATGATCCACCCGCCTCTGCCTCCAGAAGGGCTGGGATTGCAGGTGTGACCCACCGTGCACAGCTGGAAATACTTTTTCAAAACAACTCTATTAACACCTTTGCAGGAAATATCCAAGAACAAAATCTGTCACTTACGTTTGAGGGTTAAACATGTTAGAGAGTTGAAAACACTGAGTTGCCAGTGGCTGAACAGAGGCAGCTGCAGCTAAAGCTGAAGCTAAAAGAAGAGAAAGAAAAATTAGTTTCATGGAAAATGCATGAAAGTATCCCTCATAACTACTTCAAAACAAAACCAAATACCCACCCCAAGCATGTAACTAGGATGTCACTCGAGTATTTTACCTTATTTAATACTACTACTAAAGTATGTATCAGTAGCTTCTAGGTGCCAGAAAATTGAGGCAACCCAATATAGACATTCAGAAATTTGAAAGTACTATTTTTAACAAGGAAATTTAAACACTTTATGTTATCAAAATCAATTCGACAAAATCTCAATATGCATCAATCCAAATAGACAAAGGATAAGATTTGTTTGGTATGATTATCAGTTTATACTCCAATAAGGGGATGATAATAATAAAATCCTTTGAAATGTCAAGTAAGTGTATACCCTTTTGTATTTCTTAGCTTTCTGCCCATGAATAGTTTTACAAACATTATAAGAGGATTAAAGGACATTTAAAATTATCCAAGCATTTCAAGACAATGTCCTAGAAAACTAAATTCTACTAAGAATCCTATTAAGTAAATCCTATTAATAAATTAATCTTTTTAAAATGATATTTTAGCACAATGAAACAACACTGAAAAAAGCTAAGTATGTATTTATAATATTCACTGCTACCAACTTAAAAATTAATGAACACTTTTATTCAAATTCAAAACATACTGGGGGTTTGAAGCTTAAAGAGCATTTTCCAAGACAGTTGCTCCAATGCTTTCATGTGATTTACAAAAATATTACCAGTAGCTGTTACAGAACTCACCGTAATCATATTATCTGACCAAATTTCATTCCAAAACATAATAACAAACAAAGCTAAGGATAAAACAGTGCATTAGAAATTACGGTAATTAAAATAAACGATCACTTATAGTATCAGAAATATCACACTGAACAAAAGCTAGGGCTGTGCATGAAATATATAATAAAATAATTACTTTCTGGTAGCATTACAAGTGCTTTAGCTTCTTTGTAATATACAAGTATTTTTTCCTTCATAAAGATTTTTTTAAAATAAAATTGTAACATAACATCAAATTCTACTGGAAAAAAGTTAAAAGATTCAAGAGTATATTATACCTATGCAAAAATGAAGATCACTCTGTAGGTTATAGAAGACATGTGGAAGTATCCTTGGAAAAACTACAAAGTCTAAACAGAACTGAGGAAGACTTCATTCTTCCAGTCTCTCATATTTCATATTATATACTATGAATACTAAAAATTATTAAGAAAATGTACTATACAAACATTCCCATTCAACCTAGATAAATGCAGAACACAGTAAATCTGGGAAAAGCCTCCACCTCTACTTTTAAAAGTATCTTAACAAACACAGCACTGAGAGGTCAGGCGTGGTAGCTGACACCTGTAATCCCAGCATTTTGGGAGGCCGAGATGGGTGGATCACTTGAGGCCAGGAATTCAAGAACAGCCTGACCAACATGGTGAAACCCTGTCTCTACTAAAACTACAAAAATTAGCCGGGCATGGTGGCATATGCCTGTAATCCCAGCTATTCAGGAGACAGAGGCAGAAGAATTGTTTGAACTTGGGAGGCGGAGGTTGCAGTGAACCGAAATCACGCCACTGCACTCCAGCCTGGGTTACACAGCAAGACTTCATGTACAAAAAAAAAAAAACCCCAGTACTGACTAGAACAATATTGTTTGCGGAAAAATCTTTAATTCCTGACTATGACAGAACATGACATGTTTCTCATACAGAATCATTTTCTTAAACATTAAGCATACTCCTATAAAAGATGATACAGAACTTACATTATCAGCAAAATGCTCATGTCAAGCAACAGAAATTAAGTTATAACAAAAAACAAGAAATCATAGCCTACTTATGGACACTTTCTCTGAAAGGTGAGCGTACATTAACTCTGGATAAACCTCTCATTGCTTGGTATTTTGGCTTATAGAAATGAATGGGTATCCTTCCTTAACCAAAAAAGGGCGAGTTTTATAGCTCGATTCCTAAATTTATACTAGGACAACTTCCAGATTCTATGTTCTAAAATACTTGCCTACTTGATTAACAACAGAATACATCATTTCCTGACTTCTATATAAAACTTATCAACACTTACAACACAGATAGGCATAAAATGAACACGTTGAAAATTTTAAGCAAACTAAAGCAAAAAAAATTGATATTTTGATTTTCTTGAAGTCCATTAATGATTTGGGTTAGGTCTTACGAAATACAGATTATTATGTATATACCACTATGAGCCACTGTGTCAAAATTCAGGTCTAGATTACTGGTATAAATATGACAATAAATACAGAAAACTCTCTTACTACATTTAATTCTATTTCAAAGTCAAAAATAAAAAATATAAACACTTCAACTCACCTTCAGTCTGCTGGGAAAGTCTTGTTTGCAAATCTATAACAAAAGAGAATTCTACAGCTCAGTGCAGGAACAATGAAGAGCCTCAACTAACAGGGTAAATGTCAGGAAAGCATTAATAAAAGAGGACTATAACAGCAGGGTTTATTCAAATGTACTTAGTAAAACCTGGCAGCAAAACCTCCTTCCCCATTCCTCATTGACAAGGCTTTGGGGCCTTTTTTTCCCCCTCTTATCCTAGGAAGCTTACTTTTCCCTCTCTCTTCCTATACTACTATTCCACATCTCAAGTGAATTCCACTACACTAGTATTCAGCTGGGAATAATGGGAAATGGGGAAAGGGAAGCACACCGGTCAGAAAATGAGTGAAAAACCCTGATCTTGAGAATTCAATTCCAAGTACTTGGGAAATACAAGTATTTATTTTTTTAATGGCCGTTAAGTACTTAACACCATAAAAGGATATTATAAAATAGTAAATAGTACATATCAAAAAGCTGTAAACACATTCAATGATTTCCCAATTTAGGAAGAACATCACCATTGGGAAATACACCATTCCAACAGTATGGATATATTATTAAAGGGCCTTAAAAATATTTAACTTGTTTTAACTTGTCAAATTTAGCCCACAATGAGGCAACTTAATTAGTTACTTCCTGGCCTACTGTAAAAATTAAGTAAAGCAAGAATAAATCTCTGGAATTTTCTTACAATTTATGAAGTTTAGGAAAATGAAAGTAAGCAGTATTAAAAATAAGTGAGGGATCTGACCAATATATTTTCTCATATAATTGTTAGATTTCTACAGTTGGGCGGCATCTTAAAAGAAAGTTACTACAGGGTGAAACAATACCAAGTCTTAATAGTAAAGAAACTGCCACAGTGCTATGATGCTCTCTTGAACTTCCTGGTTTTTTTAAGTTTTAGTTATAGAAATATACAATATCAAAATTTTGATTCAGTAACCTACTTTTCATTGAAATTTGATTAAATTTCAACACTTTATTACCACATTTATGGGTTTCTTGCTGGGGACAGAAAATGATCATAAAACATGGGGGAAAATGTACAGGGATCTGCACCCAACTTATACTGGGAAATAATACCTGGGTCCTACTTGCTCAAAATTGGCATCTCAGGGAGCTGAAGAAATGTAACTAGTGTACACTGAAGGAACCTGAAGATATGACCATGAGAACAGTGTCAATAAACTTTAATTAACAGAATTTGTCTTTTCCCCTAAAATGGGAAAAAAATGTATAGATACGAGTAATCCATGCTGTTTTATCAACCCAATCATAACTTCAAAAATGATCTGTTGTATAATTTGTGACCAAGTAAAAAAAGCATGGGTTTCATAAAGATAAGGACTCTAACCTATCTTAGAAAGGGCCTATTGAATTGGCAGACTAAAATAATGTGGATATAGTGATGACCCACCCTTGGTTTTACCCAGTATCTTTCAAAGACTTAAGGGACAAGGGCCTCAAAGACAGTGAACACTCAATTTTATTTCAACTAGGTATATGTAATGTTTTAATAACTACCATCTGGAGAAAAACATCTACAGATAACTTTACAGATATTCACCTAAAACGTGGGTGTTATTAATGCAGAAGAAATTTATAGCAAGTATAACAAAACAAGAAAGATCTTTAAAATCATCTCGACCACCAGCACTAAAAAAAGGAATGTAACAAGATACATAGATAAATAAAGCATAGGGACAACTGTCAGAAATTCAAATGGAGCGTTAGGGTTTTAGCTGACTACATTCAATCTTAATATAAACTACACGATGAGAAACAATCCAGAGAGGTACAGTCATATGTAATAAAAGAAATAATGGCTAATGGTAGAACTGATATTAACAGTGGATAATCTTCAGTTAACTGAAGATATTGCTTAAGACCAAATCAACTTATCTGATACAGCATCCAGGGTGTAACAGTAATTGTCTATAATTGACCCCTTTATCACTGTATCAATTCCTGAAGGCAGGAACAAATCTTTCACCACCCTTTAATGGAATACCTAGAACATGAATTAAAAATTTCTAAATTATCAAATAACAATTATTAACAATGGGAAGTAATATAGGTAAACAGTTTTCTGGTAAAATAATTTTTAAACTATAATAATAGGGTATAATTCTCTAAGTAATGATGTAGTATTAATTAGAGCAAGTGGCAATAGACATTTATTCACTGTAAAGGATCAAATAACTAACAGTATAAACTCAAAATAAATTATATATTAATCCAATGGAATAACTTAAAGATACCTGAGGAGTCATAAATGACTATTAAATACACAAATTCCTTACTGGTTGTGATTCTTCTTATAAGTATAAACTGATTTCATTGTCAGAAATTCTAGTAAGTATTTGCTTGTCAAATTTAAAGATAAGTCATACAATTTGATAGAGAGGAAATGGAACCAAATTCAGGTTTACAACATCCACTAAGGCGGCAAACAGTAAAAAAATGTAAAAACAGAAATGATCTCCTTTAATTGAATACTGAGCTTTAAATCAAGAAAATCATGAAGCAACCACAGGACCTTTTCATACATTCAGAAGCAGTACTACCATGATCTAAAATATATCTTCTCAGTTACATTCTCACCTAAGGTCAAAGGACCGGCCAGGTGAGGTGGCTCATGCATGTAACCAAGGACTTTGAAAGGTCAAGGTGGGCAGGTCTCTACTAAAAACACAAAAATTAGCTAGGTATGGTGGCGAACGTATGTGATCCCAGCTATGTGGGAGGCTGGGGCACCAAAATTCCCTGAACCCAGAAAGAAAAGTTTGAGCAACAGAGCAAGACTCCACCCCCGCAAAACCAAAATAAAAAAGGTTCCTCTTAACAACGTTCTCAAAGATGTCTTTGACATTTCAAAATTAAATCCTATCTCCTAGATTTGGGTCAATGTCAAGGCTTTTAGTTATTACAGGTAATTAAATTAAGGCATAAGGGCTGGACACAGTGGTTCACAGCTGTAATCCCAGCATGTAGGGAGGCCAAGGCGGGCAGACCACTTGAGGTCAGGTGTTCAAGACCAGCCTGGCCAACACGGTGAAACCCCGTCTCTACTAAAAATATCCCAGCTATTCAGGAGGCTGAGGCATGAGAATTGCTTGAACCAAGGAGGCAGAGGTTATAGTGAGCCGAGATAGAGCCACTGGACTCCAACTTGGGCAACACAGCAAGCCTCCATCTCCAAAAAATTAATTAATTAATTAATTAATTAACATATGAAAAAGAATGGATGTTTTATGAACTCAATCCCTTTTTACACATTGTAAATGTCAATTCACCCTTCTTTTCCAGTTGTCCCCAAAAATTCCATCTCCCAATTCATGATCTTAAATTTTTATATACTATTAGGAAAAATAACTGTCTCTACACTCAATAGTTTTAAGTAAAGCTTTCTTAAATGCCTCTGGTATTTTCTGAATTCAAATATTACAAAAAACAAAATTTCTACCTAACAATATAGAACTTATAATGTTTAATAAAAGTGATATATTTTAAAAGATATAAACTTACATCAATGAATTTCAACTAAAAATGGGTGCAGGGTTTACAATTGTCTTCACAGCTCATTTTGATGTATGGTTAATTCTACCCTCCATCTGCACTGCCTTACATAAAAGACTAGAAACTTCTAGGCTAGAAGTACTTGATGAATTGAATTCTCAGTAAGTCCTTTTTAATTTAAAAATTTGGAAAATTTTCGAATTAGATGAAAAAACAATGATTTCAAATTAGAAAAGATTCAATTCCTACCTGCCACAGCACCAAATGCCAAAGAGCCACTCATTTGTAGAGCCTGCTGTGCTGCTGGTGGAATCTGCAAACCTGTACCTGTAAAAGAGGCCTGAAAGTTCTTACTATGTTCTTTCTAAAGTTCTTACTATGTTGAGAGCACAGAAACAAAGTTTTCTGGGTGGTTAATATCATGATCATTTCACTAAAATAAATTGCAAGGAGGGCCAATGTTAAGTGACCAACCACAGCCGGCAGAAATCCCATTTCTTAAAAACAATCAACCAAATAACCAACAACAACAAAACAAAAAACCCAGGAATTAGCCAGGCTTAGCGGTAGTGTTAGTCCCAGCTATTTGGAGGTTAGGGTGGGAAGATGGATTCAGCCAGAGGCAGTTTGCAGTGAGCCAAGATCGCCCAACTGCACTCAAAATTGGGCAAGGCGTTGTATCGAAAAATAAGAAATTGAGGCAGAAGAATCACTTGGGCCGGGTGCGTTGGCTCATGCCTTAAATCCCAGCACTTTGGGAGGACAAGGCAGGCGGATCACAAGATCAGGAGTACAAGACAAGCCTAATCAACAGGGTAAAACCCCTTCTCTACTAAAAATACAAAAATTAGTCAGGTGTGCTGGCATACGCCTGTAATCCCAGCTACTCAGGAGGCTTAGGAAGAAGAATCGCTTGAACCCAGGAAGCAGAAGTTGCAATGAGCCAAGATCATGCCACTGCATTCCAGCATGGGCAACAGAGTGAGACAGAGTCTCAAAAAAAAACTTGTAAGGGCCAGCGTGGTGGCTCATGCCTATAATGCCAGCACTTTGGGAGGCCGAGGCCGGTGGATCACAAGGTCAAGAGATTGAGACCATCCTGGTAAACAAGGTGAAATCCCGTCTCTACTAAAAATACAAAAATTAGCTGGGCATGGTGATGCGCACCTGTAGTCCCAGCTACTCGGGAGGCTGAGGCAGGAGAGTTGCCTGAACCCAGGAGGTGGAGGTTGCAGTGAGCCGAGATCGTGCCATTGCACTCCAGTCTGGGTAACAGCAGCAAAACTCCGTTTCAAAAAAAAAAACTTGTAATATTTGTATTCTTAAGTTTGAGATACAAACATATTATATAAAGGAAAATAAATCTTACAAATTATTCTGTCACGCTCAAAACACATAATGTAGATTTCCATATATTAATACAAGGCATATCATGTATAAAATAACAGTGTGGCCAAGGATAATGCCAACTACAAAATGAAATATTTTTCCAGTGCCTATAAAGGAGGCTGAGGTGGGAGGATCACAAGGTCAAGAGATGGTCCACCATGGCCAACATGGTGAGGAAACCCCATCTCTATTAATAAATACAAAAAATTAGCTGGGTGTGGTGGCACGCGCCTATAGTCCCAGCTACTTGTTAGGAGGCTGAGGCAGGAGAACTGCTTGAACCCAGGAGGTGGAGGTGCAGTGAGCAGAGATTGCGCCACTGTACTCCACCCTGACTCCTGGCGACAGTGAGACTGTCTCAAAAAAAAAATAAATAAAATTTTTCCATTTCTTAGTTTGCATGGCTACCTTTCTACCCCACAATAAATCATTCATAATAGCAAGAAACACTTACCCTCAGCAAGTCTTGCCATTAACTGAAGACGACCAGTTGTTCCCAAATCAATTCCAGTCCTTTCCAGTTCATCACTGTCCAAAAATGAACTAGCACTTGAAGCATCAGTACGTTCAGTAACATGACCAACTTTCATTGGCCTTCCTGCTAGTTCAAATCCATTAAGTTGTTCCAAAGCCTTTTTGGCACATTCTGAATCAGAAAACTATATGATAGGGGAGGTGGAAACAAAAACAGTATTTTAGTTCTTAAAATATAAGCTATAATTAAAAATATATTTACATTGTTAGTATATTCAATAATTACTACTGAATTGTAAGGCAGAAATTTCAAGATAGAAGTAGAAAACACAACATACATGATGACGCTAACTCATGCAAATGAAGCTTGTTGATGTGGTAATTGAAATAAAAGGTATTACGAGAAATAACAGCTGTCTATCTGAGAACATGGGATCTTGGTTAGAAAATGGGCAAGTAGGTCGGGCGCAGTGGCTCACACCTGTAATCCCAGCACTTTGGGAGGCCGAGGCAGGCATCACGAGGTCAAGAGATCAAGACCATCCTGGCCAACATAGTGAAACCCCGTCTCTGCTGAAATATAAAAAATGAGCTGTGCGTGGTGGCACGCGCCTATACTCCCAGCTACTCAGGAGGCTGAGGCAGGAGAATTGCTTGAGCCCAGGAGGCGGCGGTTGCAGTGAGCCGAGATCACGCCACTGCACTCCTGCATGACAACAGAGCTAGACTCTGTCTCAAAAAAAAAATAAAGAAAGAAAAGAAAAGAAAAAAAAAAAAAGAAAATGTGCAACTAGCCAGGTGCAGTGGCTCACACCTGTAATTACAGCACTTTGGGAAGCTGAGGCAGGCAGATCACCTGAGGTCAGGTCGAATTTAGTACTTTTTTTTTTTTTTGAGATGGAGTCTTGCTCTAACATCCAGGATAGAGTGTCAGCTAAGTTAAACAGCCTCATCATCAACATAACAGGCTTGAATTTTATTGAAATGCAGATATAAGTAATCAATTTTAATTTATTGATAGAGATACAAAATGTACTTTAAAAAATACCATGTTTCCAGGACCATAAAAGGTTATACAGTTCATATATCTGAAAATACTGCCATCATGTATTTGGGTTTCATAATGAGGTAACATTAATACTTAAAAACACTTTGCTTTTAAAAGTAAAAGGCACATCTACATACAATTACTTCAGCTGTAACCTCATAATCCTACTAAGACAGGGCAGCCATAGATAGCCAGAAATACTTTTTAAATTTTTTTTTGAAATGGAGTCTTGCTCTGTTAACCAGGCTGGAATGCAGTGCCCCAATCTCGGCTCACTGCCGCCTCCGCCCCCACCCTGCCTCAGTCTCGCGAGTAGCTGGAATTATAGGCATGCGACACCATGACTGGCTAATTTTCTGTATTTTTAATAGACACTGGGTTTAACCACGTTGCCCAGGCTGGATTTGAACTCCTGACCTCAGGTGATCGCCTGCCTTGGCCTCCCAAAATGCTGAGATTACAGGTGTGAGCCACAGCACCCAACCCAACAACACTTTAAATAAGATAATTCTGGTCTTGGTTGTGAGGTTTGTACAATAAAAAGGATCTTAAGTAAAAAACCCTAAAAGACCTTCATTTAACTGGTAACAATGTGTCATAATGTTATCAGAGACAGAAGGAGAAAACATTCAATTATGGCTGAAGCGGGCAGATCGTGAGGTTAGTAGTTTGAGACCAGCCAGGCCAACATAATGAAACCCCAACTCTTCTAAAATTACAAAAAATTAGCCAGATGTGTTGGTAGACACCTGTAATCCCAGCTACTTGGGAGGCTGAGGCAGGAGAATAGCTTGAACTCGGGAATCAGAGGTTGCTTTGAGCCGAGATAGTGCCATTGTACTACAGCCTGGCAACAAAGCTAGACTCTGTCTCAAAACAAACAAACAAACATTCAATCATCTGAAGAACTGGCTAATCAAACTGACCATATATACATATTGTATACAGTATAAAGGATAACAAGGGCTGGGCGTGGTGGCTCACGCCTATAATCCCAGGACTTTGGGAGGCTAAGGTGGGCGGATCACAAGGTCAAGAGATGAAGACCATCCTGGCCAACATGGTGAAATCCGTTCTCTACTAAAAATACAAAAATTAGCTGAGTATGGTGGTGAGCACCTGTAGTCCCAGCTACTCGGGAAGCTGAGGCAGGAGAATTGCTTGAACCCTGGAGGTGGAGGTTGCAGTGAGCCAAGATCGCAACACTGCACTCCAGCCTGGAGCCTGGTGACAGAGCAAGACTCTGCCTCAAATTAAAAAAAAAAAAAAAAGTAACAGGAATATAGTAATATAGTTTGGATGCCTGTCCCCTCTAAATTTCATGTAGAAATGTGATCCCCACTGTCGAAGGTGTGACTTGGCAAGGTGGAAGACAGGGCGGATCCCTCACAAATGGTTTGGTGCACTCTCCCTACTAATGGGTGAGGGTCATTGCTCTGTTACTTCGTCTTCTATCTTCCTCCCTCTCTCCAAGTGACAGACCTGCTCCTCCATCCAACCACAGTAAAGGCTTTGTGAAGCACAAGTAAAAGCTTCCCGAGGCCACAACAAAATCTGAGCAGCTCTTAGTGTCATGCTTGTATGACCTGCAGAAGCTGATAACCTATTTTCTTAATTATTTTATATTTAATTTTTTTGGAGGCAGTCTTACTCTGTTGCCCAGGCTGGAGCACAGGCATGATCTCAGCTAACTACAACCTTCACCTCCTACGTTCAAGCAATTCTCCTGTCTCAGCCTCCTGAGTACCTGGAATTACAGGCATGCGCTACCACGCCTGGCTAGTTATTAGTGGAGATGGGGTTTCACCATGTTGGCCAGGCTAGTCTTGACCATATTCCAGCCTGAGCAACAGAACGAAACTCTGGCTCATGAAAAAACAAGCAAGTTAATTAATTAAAAATTAAAAGCCAGGAGACAGTGCCTCATCCCCATAATCCCAGTCCCCACATCCAGCTTCAAAAACCTCCCAGCACTTTGGGAGGCTAAAGGGGAAGATCACTTGAGCCCAGGAGTTCAACATCCGCCTCAACAACAAACTGAGAATCCATCTCTATGTAAGAAAAAAAAATATTTTCTATTAAAAAAAAAATTAAAAGACACAAAACCCTTCTTTTCCTTATAAATTAACCAATCTTTGAGTATTCCTTTATAAAAACATATGGACTAACACACTGTTTAACAAACTTTCATTATATAGTAAGTGGAGTAAGTGATACCACAGCTTACTAAAAAGTAGCAACTGTGCGAAAACTAATTTTTTTTATTTTGTGTTTTTGGGACTGAGTCTTGCTCTTGTCGCCCAGGATGGTGCGTGATCATGGCTCACTGCAACCTCTACCCGCTAGGTTCAAGCAATTCTCCTGCAGCCTCCTGAGTAGTTGGTAGTACTACCTACCACCACACCCGGCTAATTCTTTTATTTTTAATACAGGTGGGGTTTCACCATCTTGGCCAGGATGGTCTCAAACTCCTGACCTCAGGGGATCCACCTGCCATGGCCTCCCAAAGGGAGCCCCCATATCCAGCTTCAAAAACCTGTAAATATTAAACATGCCTCCTCCCCACCATTAGTAACTATTGTACTTTCACTATGCAACTCAGATCAAAAAGTGTTATGAGTTCCTAAGTGTAACGATTTGGTTTTCACACTCATGTATGAGTTGTGACTCCCTTTTGTTACAAGGGCATATTACCCTTGGCTGTGGAAAAAAAAATTTTCATCAGGCACAGTGGCTTACTCCTGTAATACCAGCACTTTGGAAGGGTAAAGTGGGACATCATTTAACACCAACAGCTAGACATTATTCTCAGCAACATAGCAAAAACCAGTTTCAAAAGACAGCAACTACGTCATGTAATTATGGTAATTACTTACTGTAATAAATCCATATCCCTTGGATCGACCAGTTTCACTGTCCATCATGAGCTGGATACTTTCAATCTATAATTGAAAAGCATAATTACTATTTAACTTAAAATCAAAGTACAAAACTACTTTATTCCCCGAGACATGGTTTTAGAAATCTAGCAGTCTCCTCATCCTACAAAATAGAAGACTTATCACAACACCTCATCACCAAGAAGTCTTTTTAAAGTCTTGAAACTGTAATTCTATATTTAATATGAAAAAAAAAATTAGGCTGGTACAGTGACTGGCTCCTGTAATCCCAAGACTATGGGGAGCTGACAGAGGTAGATCACCTGGTCAGGAGTTTGAGACGAGTCTGGCCAATAGGGGGAATTTGTATCTACCAAAAATACAAAAATTGGCTGGGCTTGGTGGTGTATGCCTGTATGCCCAGCGACTTGGAATACTGAAACAGGAGAATCACTTGAACCCAGGTACTCCAGCCTTGGCAACTGAGCGGGAGTTGGTATTAAAAAAAAACAAAAGTCTAGAAACCTCCCAAGCAATGGGAAGCCGGGAGCAAACTATGATTTTCAAACTAAGATTATCTTTCCTATTAATAAACCACAAAAAAACAGAAATCCTTCGTAAATTACCATTAGAAGATAGAAAAAAAAAAATCAGTGTTTCCTTTCCACAATGCTAAAAACATCAAGCAATAATTCCCAATTATACTACACACAGTAAACAATAAAAATGGAGTAACTAAAACTGACAATGGATTTCGCGATAATTGCACAATTCTGTGAATAGCACCAACTAAATACCACTGAGTTTACTTTCAATCAGTTAATTGAATCACATTTCCCAGTTAAGGTGCCCATACAAAAAAAGCATGAAAAAATAAAAACAGAGCACCGAGTCAGGTGGGGTAGCTCAGGTGTGTAATCGCAGCACACTGGGAGGCAGTAGGACTGCATAAACCCAGGTGGTGAATACTGCACCGTGAACTTCGATTACGCCATTGCACTCCAGCGTGGGTGACAGAGGACTGCCTAAAACACGAAAAAAACTTTTAACGTTAGGCATATTTTACCAAAAATTTTGAAAAAGAGAAGTGGGCCGTGCACGGTGGCTCACGCCTGTAATCCCAACACTTTGGGAGGTCAAGGTGGCAGATCACAAGGTCAGGAGTTCAAGACCAGCCTGGCCAACATGGTGAAAACCCATCTCTACTAAAAATACAAAAATTAGCCAAGTGGCACATGCCTGGAATCCCAGCTACTCTGGGGGCTGAGGCAGGAGAACTGCATGAACCCAGGAGGCAGATGTTGCAGTAAGGCGAGATTGCACAACTGCACTCCAGTCTGGAGACAGAGCCAGACTGTGCCTCAAAAAAAAAAAAAAAAAAAAAAAAGTAGTGATGTATTTGCTATTATTTGTTAAGCTACAGAATGTCTTTGGAAGACTATACAAAAAACTGATAAGGGCTACCTCTAGGAAAGGGGTAGTCATGGATAAAGTGGGGCTATGACAGGGATAAGATTTGGGGGGAGCATTAGCTAGCAACAAATAAACAATATAAATTTTAAAACAGATCTTTAGGCCAGGTGCAGTGGCTCATGCCTGTAATCCTATTTCTTTGGGAGGCCGAGGCCAGTGGATTGCCTGAGCTCTTGAGTTCAAGACTAGCCTGGGCAACATGGTGACAATTGTTTCTACTAAAATGCAAAAAATTAGCTGGGTGTGGTGGTGTGCACTTGTAATCCCAGCTACTTGGGAAACAGAGGCTGTAGAATTGGTTGAACCTGAGAGGTGAAGATTACAGTGAGCCAAGATTATGCCACTACACTCCAGCCTGGATGACAGGGCAGTGTGGCTCACACCTATAATCCCAACAAGCTAGGAGACTGAGGCAGCTGGCTGGATCACCTGGGGTCATGAGTTCGACACCAGCTTGGCCAATATGGATAAACCCCATCTCTATTAAAAATAGAAAACATTAGCTGGGCCTGGTGGCAGACACCTATAACCCTGGCTACTCAAGAGGCTGAGGCAGGAGCATCACTTGAATCCGGGAGGCAAACGTTGCAGTGAGCCAAGATTGAGCCACTGTACTCCAGCCTAGGTAACAAGAATGAAACTCCATCTCAAATTTAATCAAAAGTTTGACAAACCATACTCTAGAGTAATTAAAATAATTTGAATATCAAATGTTTCCCGATGTTCATTTTTATGTGGTACCTAAATTTCTCAAATATACATGATCATTCATTTTGAGTAGCTGCCTCCTGCCACTACACTCAGCTAATTTTTGTATTTTTATAAGAGGTTTTACCATGTTGGCCAGGCTGGTCTCAAACTCCTGACCTCAAGCAATCCACCTGCCACAGCCTCCCAAAGTGTTGGGGTAACAGGCATGAGACACTGCACCTAGCCAGTGAATACATTTTTTTAATTTTTTATTATTATTTTTATTTCTTTTTTAGTGAATGCATTTTTAAAAGTTAATGTGGCCGGGCGCGGTGGCTCAAGCCTGTAATCCCAGCACTTTGGGAGGCCGAGGGGGGTGGATCACAAGGTCACGAGATTGAGACCATCCTGGTCAACATGGTGAAACCCCGTCTCTACTACAAATACAAAAAATTAGCTGGGCACGGTGGCAAGTGCCTGTAATCCCAGCTACTCAGGAGGCTGAGGCAGGAGAATTGCCTGAACCCAGGAGGCAGAGGTTGTGGTGAGCCGAGATCACGCCATTGCACTCCAGCCTGGGTAACAAGAGCGAAATTCCGTCTCAAAAAAAAAAAAGTTAATTTGTATTTGTTCTATCTAGCTCTCTTTACATTTATTCCTTTTGCTAAAATGACCAAGTGCAAAAGGTTCATTGCTCAGTGACAGGACTGTGAGAAACTATATCTCCCTTACACAAAACTAGGTAGACACTCTTGTTAGCACAGACAAGTCCTCTAGAACAAAAGTCTAGATGCTATGTAGTGATCTCAATACTCAATATCACAGGGCCAGACACAAGGCCTTGTGGAGCCTAGGAGGCAGAAGATCAAGTTGTTTTTTGACTCTGCCATCTAACAGTTCATGTGGCCCCTATTGCTTTGAACTTCATTTCTTGATATAGCACATAAAGGTACATCACTATGTGCTATACGCACATCCACCCTCAAACACCCCAAGATCCTTGCTACTTATAGAAAAGTCAACGGAGGCTGGGCGAAGTAGCTCATGCCTGTAATCCCACCACTTTGATACGCCAAGGTGGGAGAATCACCTGAGGTCAGGAGTTCGAGACCAACCTGGTCAACATGGTAAAGCCCTGTTTCCACTAAAAAAATATGAAAATTAGCCAGGTGTGAGGGTGGGTTCCTATAATCCCAGCTACTTGGAGGCTAAGGCAGGAGAATCACTTGAAACTAAGAGGTGGAGTTTGCAGTCAGCCAAGATCGTGCCATTGTACTCCAGCCTGGGAGACAGAATGAGAATGTCTCAAAATAAAGTCAAATTACTGGAGAAAGTGAATCAGAAATGGGTCACATACTGTTAGGCAGAATAGCCTTGTCAGAGGGGCATTCATAATGCAGCCATTAAAGATTTCAACAGACAGAAAAAAGGGCAAACCTAATCAGGCTACCAAGGCCTGGAACTGAGCATATAACCAGGGAGACAGAGCAGAATTTTTTTTTTTTTTTTTTTAATGGAGACACAATCTTGCTGTTGCCCAGGCTGAAGTGTAATGGTGGGATCTCGGCTCACTGTAATCTCCACCTCCGAGGTTTCAAACAATTCTCCTATCAAAGCCGCCAGAGCCGCCAAGATTACAGACACCGGCTACTATGCCCAGCTAATTTTTTGTATTTTTAGTAGAGACAGGGTTTCAAATGTTGGCCAGTATGGTCTCAGTCTCTTGACCTTGTGATCTGCCAGCCTCAGTGTCCCAAAGCGTTGGGATTATAGGCGTGAGCCACCGCGCCTGACAAAGCAGAATCTTAAGATCTTCAACGTTCTTTTAAAAACAAACATTTAAAAAGAAATTCTACTAAACAGTAATAGTCTTCCTATGATATAACAATTTTCTTTTGAGACAGGATTGAACTGTTACCCAAGGTGGAGTCAAGCGGCATAAACACAGCTGGGATTAAAGGCATGAGCCACAGTACCCAACAAAAGTAGTTTTTTTAAATGATGAATTTTAATACCCATTATGCATTTGACATGGCATTATGAATATTAATAACATTCTTTAAGTGACCTATTCTAATTTGTTTTAACCTATGTTGTCATAATAAATTTTTCTAAAAGCAACCCTTATCCTCTTAATCTCCCAGAAAGATAACAAAGTAGGAAATACAGAAATTATTACATAGTTATACTCAGATCAAAACCTACTGAAGATTCACTGAAGAACTTGGACTTACCCTTCCGAAAGGCTCAAAGATCCCACGAAGCATATCTTCAGTTATATTAAAGTGTAATGAACCCACATAAAGCCTCATAGGTCCAGCACTTCCCTTTTGTAAATTGTTTGCCATTGCTGCAGCTCTATTTTTTTCTGCCTAAAAGACAAAATGCACATCACACAGAGCTAACACACAGTAGCTTCACCAGGGTAAACCACATAGAATTGCATAACAACTGATTCAAAGTTTAGAGTGATAAAAATATCACCCTAAGTAACTCAGACACTAAGAGGAACACTGTATGGATCAACTATGAGACGTCTAGAATATGCAAATTCAGAGAAACTAGATTATATTTTATCAACGGCCTGCAGGAAACTAGGGGGTTATAGCTTCAAGAGTAGTTTCTATGAGACAATGAATATACCTGGAGATTATTACTGGTGATTATTCCATCACTATAAATTTAATAAATAGCACTGAACTGTATACTTTAAAAATGGTTAAAATGCTAAATGTGTGTGTATAAAACTACAAAGAAAATAATTTTCTTTATTTAGAGTTTTATTTTTTTGAGACAGGGTCTCATACTATGTTGCCCAGGCTGGTCTTGAACTCCTAATATTAAGTGATCATCCTTCCTTCTCAGCCACTAGAGATTGCCAGAGATAAAGCACACCCCATACAGACAGAATCAATATTCATTAAAATTAACATTCTCTTGAGATTAGCATATCCAAATGTACAGTTGTTTGTGATATGGGGCATATGCCAGAACCAAACTATATCACCAAGAAAACATGTTAAGTCAGCTGTCATCCCTCCATAACCAACAAAAGTTGTCCATTTACATTCTAACACAGGACTCTCTGTGTAACAAACCGGCATACATTTGGGAGTACTGCTCCTCCTGTAACAGTTTGTTACATGAATTAAGTACCTCAATATGCTATTTCTTAGCCCTTAGTCCTGCCAATCCATACCCAGCTAAGTTTGACATCCAACATAGGAAATAATCTGAGTAATTATCTTCCTATCCAGTTTACAATCACATTATACTCAATAATTACTACTTAATATAAAGCAAAACCATCTAAAAATGATAAAAGTGACGACAATACGGCCAGCGCAGTGGCTCAAGCCTGTATTACCAGCACTTTGGTAGGACAAGGTGGGCGGATCACTTGAGGCCAAGAGTTCAAGACCAGCCTGGCCAAAGCAAAACCCCATGTCTACTAAAAATACAAAAAATTAGCTGGGTGTGGTGGTGCACGCTTCTAATCCCAGCTACTTGGGAAGCTGAAGGACAAAAATCACTTCAACCAAGGAGACAGAAGCTGCACTGAGCCAAGATCACACAACTGCACTACAAGCTAAGTGACAGTGAAACAGTATTTAAAGAAAAAAGAGAGGATAATAATTTGGCCAAGGTTACATACAGCTTACCTAGCAGTGAAACTGCTATTTCAAGTCACATTTGGATATAAAGCTAATGAAGAACTTCACAAAATTATGTAAAGTAAACCTGATCGGCCACAGGGTCCCACGCCTCTAATATGAGCACGTTAAGAAGCCAAAACATGATTTAGAGGCTCCTCTCTAAATAAAAAAAAAAAAAAAATCAGCCAGGCATGGTGGTTGATGCCTGTGTTCCCAACTACTTTGGGGACTGAGCTGGAAAGATCACTTGAGCCTAGCTAGGAAGTTGGGGCTGTAAATGTGTCACTATCCTCTAGCCTGGGCAACTGAACCTGTCTAAAAAGAAGTTAAATTTGATGAAGTAACCCGATTATTAAAAAGAGTTATAGAGTATTTAAGCAGTTTGAAAACCAGTCAATATGATACTGTACTTCATATTGCTCAAAATATTAAATATTGTCTTTGCTATTTAAAAAAATCGAGGCCAGGAGTGGTGGCTCACGCCTGTAATCCAAGCACTTTGGAGGCCAAAGCGGGCGGATCACCTGAGGTCGGGAGTTAAAGACCAGCCTGACCAACATGGTGAAACCCCGTCTTTAAATAAAAAAAAAATTTTTTTAAATATTTTTAAGTAAAAAAAGAATCGAGTCATTAATTAGTGACAAAAATCAGTAACTTGTTTCTGGTGTTTCCCCCCACCCTGCACCCCTATGGGAAGAAGAGACAGAACAGGGCCCTACAGGCAGTGTGGTGGGATCTTCTATCTCGCACAGAGGCAGAAAAAAAACCAGTCACTTGTTTATTAATACAAATGAATACAAACCAATTCTAATGATAGGGTCGTATTATATAATCCACAGAATGATACATTCCAACTTCTCCACATCCTAAGAACTATTAAATGCTGTCAAAGTGCAGTGTGGCTGAAGTGATCCTAACATCTCAAGAGGCCCAGGCCAGAGGATCACTTTATTTTTATTTATTTATTTACTTTTTAAATAGAGATGGAGTTCCACCGTGTTAAGCTGATCTTCAACTCCTTACCTCTCAGGCGATCCACCTACCTCGTCTTCCTAAAGTGCTGGGATCATAGACGTGAGCCACAGCGCCCAGCCCAGAGAGTCATTTTAGTCTGTAAGTTTGAAACCAGCCTGAACAATATGGCAAGACCCTGTTCCTTCAAAAAATTTAAAACTTAGCTGGCAATGGTGGCATGTACCTTAGTCCTAGCTACTCAGAAGACTGAGGAGAAAAGACTGTTTGAGCTCGGCAGGTCAAAACTACAGTGAGCTGTGATTATGTCACTGCACTCTGATCTCTGAGTGAGACCGTTATCTCAAAAACAAGGCCAGATGCGGTAGCTCACACCTGTAATCACAGCACTTTGGAAGGCCAAGGAGGGTGAATCACCTAAAGTCAGGAGTTCAAGAACAGCCTGGCCAACATGGTGAAATCCCATCTCTACTAAAAATACAAAAAGTATGCCAGGTATGGTGGGTCACAGCTGTTAATCCCAGCACTTTGGGAGGCTGAGGCGGGTGAATCACAAAGTCAGAAGGTTCAAGACCAGCCTGGCTAAGAATGGTGAAACTCCATCTCTACTAAAAATACAAAAAATTACCCGGGATGGTGGTACACGCCTGTAATTTCAGCTACTTAGGAGGCATAGGCAGAGAACTGCTTGACATCAGGCGATGGAGGATTCAGCAAGCCAAGATCACACCACTGCACTCCAGCCTGGGAAATAAAAGCAAGACTCTATCTCAAAAGAAAAAAAGGTAGAGCCAAGCATGATGGCAGTCTTCTGTAATCCCAGCTACTCAGGGGGTTGAGGCAGAAGAATCTCTTGACCCCAGGAGAGAGAAGGCGGTTGCAGTGAGCTGAGACCAGGCCACTGCACTCCAGTCTGGGTAACAGAGACTCTGTCTCGAAAAAAACCAAAAACCAACAAAAGGGCAACACAAGGAGAAAAGACAAGATGACGGTCTTGAGAAAACTATCAAAGTAAGCAAGACAAAGTTTACAAAAAAAAAAAAGGTCCTTGAGAACATCTGACTCCTAAGGTAATGAGTCGCAGTCACTGTAGATGAGGCACAGGACATGAAAGCAAGATACCATGCAACAGGAAGCTTTCGAGACCATCAATAATCAATCTCTTAACCAGGAAAAAAATTACCTGTGATGCCTGTACTATGATTGGCACTCCTAAAACTCGTTGGCCAGTTAATCCTATTGCTAGAGGCACCGAGCTAACATCAACAAACTCCACATAAGCAATTCCTTTGGAACGTCTTGAATTTCTGTCAGAAATCATCCTCACATCTCGAACCTAGAAAGAAAACAGTTCGGTTTGTGCAACCCATCCACTGTAAGCCAGGTACATACAATTCTTTCAAGAGACATTAATGTTAAAGCAAAGGATGAAGGCATTATGAATTTCTTTTAAAAAGTAAATCTGTAGGACAATTCCTATATTCTATCCATATCTGTTAAAAACTTTGTTGTAACATTTATCAACTCTAATACTATAAGATGCAAAATGGAAACATTACCACAAATACTGCTATTAAATCAAAATATTTGATGTTTAGATGTTTTCTCTTACAGTATCTACCTATTTGACTTCCCTACACAGGCTAAAATTACCTTTCCTACTGTAGAGAAAAACTCTTCCAAATCCCTTGGTCGAATTCTTGCTGCCAGCTGCATACAGAAGACTGTCCTTGCATCTCTTTCCTCAGGAGTTAGATTATCAATAGGTTCCCTAATAGGAGTAAAAAATATAGAATTAGTTTTATAACAGATTATTTTAAAATAAATTTTTATTTCTCTATATATTTCAACAGTTTTTCAGTACAGGTACTTTTTGGTTACATACATGAGTTCTTTAGTGGTGAATTCTGAGATTTTAGTGCACCTGTTACCCGAGCAGTATACACTGTATCCCTCACTCCTTTCCCAACTCCTCCCCAGTATTTTAATTGTTAGAAATTAGGTCTTGCTATGTTGTACAGGTTGGCCTTGAACTACTGAGCAATCCTTTTTCCCTAGAACCCAAAATGCTGGGATAACAAGTGTGAGCCATCACACCTGACCTAAAACAAGTGTGAAACATTCATTTTCACAGAATGAATAAGCTGTGAAACTAGTCTGTCATATTCCCAAGCCTATTTTCAGTAAGATCTATTCAATTTAACTCAATTCCTTCTAAAGAATAGTTTACTGTTTCTTATAATCACATCTTACATTAGCACAGAAGTCTAATGTTCTTACAATCTCAAAAAGGGTAATTCTTCTAAAGAAAGGACCAACCAGAAGCCTGTTTAATAACAGTCATTAAAAATACCACTGGACCAATCACAAATGCCAGACTGATACAAAATCAGTGTAACGGATGCTTCCTTACAACAAAACCGTAAAATTATAGAGACAATTAAGTTTGATAATCACAATGGCAAACTCGAAGTGAAACCCCAAGTAATACCAAAAATTCTACTTTATTTTACAAATTTGGATTGTCTATTAACATCATCTCTGTTACAAAATACCAGTTAGTTTAATGTTTTAAGTCAATCCTTAAAGATGTTAAGCCTAAACACGCTCTTTTCCATTTTTTGGACACTCTCAGGATGTACAAGTGGTGGGTGTGTTTGGATGCTTTCTCTTGTAGTATCACTCCACCTATAACATTTGTCACAAAACCTTTTCTTTTTTTTCTGAGACAGAGTCTCACTCTGTCACCCAAGGTGCAATGCAGTGGCATGGTCTCAGCTCACCACAACCTCCACCTCCCAGGTTCAAACGATTCTCCTGACTCAGCCTCCCAACTAGCTAGAATTACAGGAACATGCCACCATGTCTGTTTAACTCTTGTATTTTTAGTAGAGACGGGGTTTCATCATGTTGGTCAGGCTGGTCTTAAACCCCTGACCTTGTGACCTGCCCGACTCGGCCTCCCCAAGTGCTGGGATTACAGGCATTAGCCACCCCACCTGGCACAAAAGCTTTTAAGGCCAAGAGTAGTGGGCAGATTGCTTGGCTCAGGAGTTTTAGACCAAACTGGGCAACATGGTAAAACCTTGTCTCTACAAACAAACAAACAAAATTAACAGGGTATGGTGGCTACACTTACAGTCCCAGCTACTAGGGAGGCTGAGGGCATTGCTTATGCCCAGCTGTTAAGAAACTACAGTGAACCATAACTGCATCATGGTACTCCACCCTTCGTGACAAAGTGAAATCCTGCCTCAAAGAAAAGCTTTCTGCTGGGCCCCATGGCTCACACCTGTAATTCCAACACTTGGGAGGCCAAGGTGGGCAGATCACCATATCAGGAGTTTGAGACCAGCCTAACTAACATGGTTTTGAAACCCCTTCTCTACTAAAAATACAAAAAATTACCCAAGCATGGTGGCACATGCCTGTAATCCCAGCTACTCAGGAGGCTGAGGCAGGAGAATTGCTTGAAATTGGGAGGTGGAGGTTGCAGTGAGGCAAGATTCCAAGATTCCAACACTGCACTCCAGCCTAGCGAGTGACACTCCATCTCAAAAAAAAAAAAAAAAAAAAATTAGCCGGGTACGGTGGTGGCAGGGGCCTGTAATCCCAGCTACTCAGGAGGCTGATGCAGGAGAATCACTTGAACCCGAGAGACAGCCATTGCAGTGAGCCAAGATCACAACACTGCACTCCACTACCTGGGCAACAAAGCAAGACTCCGTCTCAAAAAAAAAAAAAAGCTTGTAAATTATAATTAAGACTTACTTACCAAATTCTAGAATTCTACAGTATAGCTAAATAGACCATACAATAAAGTTATAAGATGCTCTTAAAGGAAATGAAAAATCTGAGTATAACAATGCTACTACCTGGCTAGGTGCAAAGAATAGTTCATGCCTGTAATCCCCCCATTTTGGAAGGCCAAGGCGGGTGGATTGCCGGAGGTTAGGAGGTCCAGACCAGACTGGCCAACATGGCAAAACCCCATCTCTAATAAAAATACAAAAATTAGCCAGGTGTGTTAGCACACGCCTGTAGTCCCAGCAACTCAGGAGACTGAGGCAGGAGAACCTTTAGAACCAGGAGATAGAGGCTGTAGTGAGCTGAGATTACACCACTGTATTCCAGTTTAGGCAAGAGAGTGAGACTCTGCATTAAAAAAAAAAAAAATCCACAATACTGCCCAGGGGTGGTGGCTCATACCTATAAACCTGAGAGAGGCAGGTGGATCATGAGGTCAGGAGTTTGGGACTAGCCTGGCAAACATGGTGATACCCAGTCTCTACTAAAAATACAAAAATTAGCAGAGTGTGGTGGTGGGCACCTGTAATCCCAGCTACTCGGGAGACTGAGGCAGAACTGCTTGAACCTGGGAGGTAGAGAGGCAGAGTTTGCAGTGAGCTGAGATTGTGCCACTGCACTCCAGCCTTGGCGATACAGCAACACTCTGTCTCAAAAAAACAAACCAAAAAACCACAATGCTACCACCTAACACAGTATTCTTTGAACCAAAACAGTAGACTGAACGAATTCTTATTTTTAAGCATAATCTATGGAAACATTCAAGAACCTAGGAGTACCAATTCAAATCATTAAGATTTTTGAGGTGAAATACTTTTCCTCAGGTAAGAGAGCCAAATGGCAAAACCTACTTTTCCACATTAGGCTACTTCAAATAACTTATTATTTATGCCAAAAGTAAGTCTAAAGTTTTCTATAACTGCTATGTTGCTAACACAAAGAAATGTTTGACATGAATATGCTAATAGCCCAGATTTGATCATTACACGCTGTATAGATATATCAAAACATCACTGTATCCCATAAATATACACAATCATTGTATGTCCATTAAAAATAAGAAATGCAGCTGGGTACAGTGGCTCAGGATAGCAATCCCAGCAGTTTGGGAGGCAGACGTGGGCGTATCATTGCAGTCAGGAGTTTGAGACCAGCCTGGCCAACATGGTGAAACCCTATCACTACTAAAAATACAAAAATTAGCTGGGCATGGTGGCAGGTTCCTGTAATCCCAACTACTCAGGAGGCTGAGGCAGGAGAATCGATTGAACCCAGGAGGTTGAGGTTGCAGTGACCGAGATAGCACAACTGCACACCAGCCAGGGGACAAGACCGAGACTGTGTCGCTTCATCTCAAAAAAAAAAAAAAAAAAAAAAAGGGGGGGGGGGAGTAAGAAAAATTTACTTTAAGTAAAACAAGAAAATAAGATCACATTAAAATAACTTTTGTGGCTGGGCGTGATGGATCACACTTGTAATGCCAACACTTTGGGAGGCCAAGGCAGGTGGGTCATCTGAGGTCAGGAGTTTGACATCAGCCTGGCCAACAGGGTAAAACCTCATCAATACTAAAATACAAAAAGTAGCAGGGCGTGGCGGTGTATGCCTGTATTCCCAACTACTTGGGAGGCTGAGACATGAGAATCGCTTGAACCCAGGAGACGGCGGTTCCAGTGACACAAGATCGCGCTACTGCACTCCACCCTATGTGACTCAGACTACGCCTCAAAATAAACAACTTTTGCTTCTTTTTAATTACATGAAATTAAAGTCAAAGCTACGGAAAAATCAGTAGAAACTCACTTGATTTTAAACTACTAGAGCTGTAAAAGGAAGCAAAAGCAAAATTTAATATGGTTGTAATTACTAAATATCATTCAATTTAACAGTACCATAAGCTGCAAAGCTTCATTAAGAGCTAAAGGCTTTAAAGAAGAAAACTACCTCACAGGGCTCTTGTCTTTTCTGAATGGACTTTTGCTTCGGGAACGTCGTCTGCTGCAAAGTTAAAAAGTTTCAGAAGTTATCCAAACAAGTACAGCATGTCAGTTCCTTGAAAAACAATTTAAACAATTCAGAAGTATGTTTAAAAACCTTAATTTGATGCTATGAGGCAACCCAATCTTTCCTCGGATGGCACTGTTAAATTTTGGTCCGGAGCTAAAAAGGAAACACAAAATTACACTAGTTACAGGTTTAGGGTCTTGCTAAGATCGCATTCATGCGCTCTCCAGCAAGACTAACATTGTTTAGGTTGCTGCTTTTCCACCTCAGTTATGAAGAGGAAACAAAAATACTTAGCTGTCTCTTAACTTTATCCCAGGCAAGCTGCCCTTGAATTTATCCATCCTGGACCACTGAGAGGTGCCAAGACCAAAGGTTATGGCCTCAAAATTTTCAGATTGTGAAACTGCACACACCCATTTTCAGTCTACAGATTATCTTTTTAAGCTACATATATATAAATACAGTCTTGAGAATTTAAAAAAACTAGCACATATAAAAAATAAATCCCTCTGAACTTCCTCACACCACCAGTAACTATGGTTAACAATTTGGTGTGTATCTTTGCAGAACCTCTCCTGGGAATATATGTGTGTACATGTACACATACAATACTCATACATGTCTTCTTTTTGAAAGATTTATTTTAAAAACTAAAGACCATTTTTTAGTCATGCAACTTAGGTATTTCCCCATTCAACAGTAACTCTTAGCATGACACCATTTAATACGCTATACTTCAGTTGTTTCAAAATATTCCATCGTGAAGATGTTAAGGTAATTTACCAATTCTTTATAAAACTTTTTGAGGATCTGTCATGACTAAAGGAGTGTTTTCAAAAAGATCACAAAGGTAATTATTACTTAGTAACAATTTTTGTGACTTTTTAAAGAACAGGCTAACTTAAAGGGACTAGCCAGTTGTCCCTTAGTGCTCATCCTGCTATCTTATTCCAGAAGAATAGCAAAGTAAATAAATCGTTGTGGCCTGTGATCCACACACCTGAATTAGTTTTCATGGACACTACGCCTACCTACAACGTGCAAGTAGTTCCAACTAAAACACTTTATTAAATTGGTCCTTTGCAATTCAGACTAACGGTGATGACTGAAAATCGTTTACTGGATAAAGTTCTCAAGTAATTAGTTATAAGCTATTTTCTTTCCCCTTCAATTAAAAAATATTCTCAGTTGTAACCTCAAACCCAACATAAGAACTAAGTTATTTTTAAATAAAGTTAGACCAGGATCTACCAATCAGAAAAAACCCATCACTCAGAGGAATTAAGCTCATTCCCTTCCCTACATTTAGTTCATCCTGGCAAAAAGATTTAACAATCCCATTTTAAGAATGCAATGAATCTTGGTAAATGGAACAAAAGCTGAGAATTTCCTACTGCTGTATAGCATTCAGAATTAGAACAGCATTGCGGTCCTGTGTTCGGCTATCAAAATTAATGAAATATGCAGAATAAAGGAACCCATAAAACATGAAGTTCAGTTTTATTTTAAAAATAAAAGAGCTAGAATCCGAATTCATGTAATGTCAAAACATTTCATGAATCCATTAAATCCTCTGAGAACTTTACATTTTCTTCTCATTCATTATTTATTAATACCTTATCTGCAACTTGTTATCTCCTTAAAAGGTTAGAAAACAAATGCTTAGCTTAGTGAGTTAAGTAACTCGCCAAGTGATTTAGGCCTTTGAATTCCATCCTTAACCATTCAACTCTTAAAGTTAGAAGGGTTATTTTTAGTATATTCCAGAGTTTACAGCAATGTGTTTATTAAGAGGAATTAACCTCATAAAGCATTAAGGACTGCTAGATTCAATCCTCAGAACTGTGTGAGTGGTTTTGTAATATAGTTATTTACACTAACCATAATGAATCTGTTTCCCACTTTAAATACCTACACATCCAAATTTCTGGTGATTTAATCTTCAAAACAATTTTAGTTTAGAATACCTTACTATTAACAAACCTTAAACACAGATGAGCCCAAAAAAGGATCTTGATAAAGACACACACACAACAATTCACAACTGGCCTGTCTTTTCAGCTGTTAACAGCCACAGTTACAAGATATTTTACTTACTGTTTACTAATTACCAATGTGTAACTTAGTATTCATCAGAACTTTACAATTTTAAGTAAATATATACTTAGCAAATACTGTAACAGCTCAGACACTGTTAAGTTTCTCAGGTATTTGGGCACTACAATGTCATCTTTTTCAAGCACTCTAGTGCTTTAATGTAGTTTCCATTGATTGGCATACAATTTAAAAACAGTTTAACAGAAAATAATCTGTATGCCTAGTAAAAGCAAATTTTTACATATTTGTCTATGCGCTACATTTTCAATTTAGAAGCATTCAATGCCAATATTCTTAGTTCAATACTTTTTAACCAATCATTTAAAAAAATTCACAATTTCAAACCACTCAAGTTAAATTGCTATCTGAATACCCAGAGAAAAACCCTGAAACCAAAATCGTAACTATAATTACATACTAAGGACTTCTGTAGCGGCCTCTAAATCTCCGATCTCGACTTCTTGAGCGGCTCCGTCGTCTTTCTTTGCTTCTACTTCGCTTCCTTTCACGGCTTTTGCTCTTTTTCCTTTCTCTATCTCTACTTCGCTTCCGTTCCTTACTTTTGCTTCTCTTTCGTTCATGACTACGACTTCTGCTCTTGCTTTTTTTCCTCCTGATAAGAAAAAAATTCACCATTATCATGCTGGTTTAAGAACCCACCATAACATAGTACCTTTTATGGCCAGAATCTTTTTTGTATCCTTTCATAAATTTATTTGGCTAGTTTTACTATGATATGATGGTACATAATCATACTTAAAAAAACTCCTGCCGGGCGTGGTGGCTCAAGCCTGTAATCCCAGCACTTAGGGAGGCTGAGGCAGGTAGATCACAAGGTCAAGAGATCGAGACCATCCTGGTCAACAAGGTGAAACCCCGTCTCTACTAAAAATACAAAAATTAGCTGGGCATGGTGGCGCGTGCCTGTAATCTCAGCTACTCAGGAGGCTGAGGCAGAAGAATTGCCTGAACCCAGGAGGCGGAGGTTGCGGTGATCCGAGATCGTGCCATTGCACTCCAGCCTGGGTAACAGAAGTGAAACTCCGTCTCAAAAAAAAAAAAAAAACAAAACTCCTGTAATCCCAACACTTCGGGAGGTTAAGGTGGGTGGATCAAGAGGTCAGGAGTTCAAGACCAGCCTGGCCAACATAAGAACTGAGTTACTGCCGGGCGTGGTGGCTCACCCCTATAATCCCAGCTACTCGGGAGGCTGAGAGGCAGGAGAATCGCTTGAACCCAAGAGGCGGAGGTTGCGGTGAGCCGAGATCGCGCCATTGCACTCCAGCCTGGGTAACAAGAGCGAAACTCCGTCTCAAAAAAAAAAAAAAGAACTAAGTTATTAAGCCTGTCTCTAATAAAAACATAGAAACTAGCCAGGCATGGTGGCGTGCGCCTGTAGTTCCAGCTACTCAGGACGCTGAGGCAGGATAACTGCTTGAGCCCAGGAGGTGGAGGTTGCAGTGAGCTGAGATTGCACCACTGCACTTCAGCCCGGGCAACACAGCAAGACTCCGTCTTCAAAAAAAAAAAAAAAATTGCTAGGTATGATAAACAATATTCAACCTTTGCCTTATATTAACATTACTGAAAATCAGCAGACAAGACATTATTTGAAATACACCATCCTCTAAGAGCAGGAAGTGCAATGATCTCCTGAGATTTAGCTATAGCTTTAAAAAGGAAAGGGACTTGTAGGCAAGTACAAATCAAAATGCGTACATTTAGTTTGTCATACAACAGGCAAAAGCATTACTGTAATCCAGAAGATATTAATAAAATAAATTTACAATAGAGTAGTTCACATTTAAGTACTAATACTGGTTCATTTTTAAAAATTTTCATCAAATACAGTAATTTACCATAAAGTCAATTTTGCACCAATTTACACAAGGAGTATTTTATACTTTCAAAGGGTCATACAGACATCAACATTTTGGTTTTCATGGGCAACACTGTAATGACAAAGGACACTAAGAACCAATGGAGCCCGGGCGCAGGGGCTCATGTCCGTAATCCAGCACTTTGGGAGGCCGAGGTGGGCAGATCACTTGAGGTAAGGAGTTCAAAACCAGCCCAGCCAACATGGTGAAACCCCGCCTCTACCAAAAATACAAAAATTAGCTAGGTCTGGTGGTGCGTGCCAGAAATCCCAGCTACTTGGGAGGCTGAGGCAGAATCATTTGAATGCGGGAAGTGGAGGCTGCAGTGAGCTGAAACCACACCATTGTGCTCCAGCCTGGGCAACAAGAGCAAAACTCCAACTCAAAAAAAAAACAAACAAAAACAAAACTGGGTGTAGTGGCTCACACCTATAATCCCAGCACTCTGGCAGGTGGAGTCGGGTGGATCACCTGAGGTCAGGAGTTCAAGACCAGCCTGGTCAACATGGTGAAACCCTGTGTCTCCTAAAAATACAAAAAAGTTGCTAGGCATGGTGGCACGTGCCTTTAGTCCCAGCTACTCGGGAGGCAGGAGAATCACTTGAACCTGGGAGGCGGAGGATGCAGCGAGCAGAGATGGAGCCACTACACTCCAGCCTGAGAGACTAAGTGCCACTATGAATCAAAAACAAAAAGTACTAATGGAACTAACGCAGTAATACGTTTTGACATTCCCAGACTTTAATGTGACCATTTCAAATACTTCCTAAAGTTACAATAAATACACCAGAAAATGGAGCATGCCATTTTTAAGCCAGTTTATAGAAGCCTGTGGTATGCAATCAAAACCAATGATCATCTTGACCTTCACAGATCTTTTTAAAATCTCAAACTAAAAACCAAAAACCCTGTATCTTTCTGTTCATTTCTGTATTCTTCACAGTATACCACCCATTCATAATTAAATCATCATCTATACCTCTGTGTCATCACCCAAATTTTAGAGGTGCCTTCAGATATTTCAATATAAATTGAAAGACATTTCAAAATCAACTTATTCCACTAAACATCAATTCGTAGTGGCTTAAAAATTAAACATTTTGACAATTCTATATCATTATCTGATATGTGATTGTTTATTCCTTATCAAAGCAAAGTTACATAGCACAAGAGCAATTGAGGTCTGCCTCAGAGAACCTGTAAGCAGGTCATCTTAGAGTGCACTGAAAATAGAAAATGAAGACACCCACCTTCTGGAATCTTGAAACCCACACTCCAATCACAAGGAGATGTAGAGCTTTCCAAGGAGGCAGAAACTTTGTCTAAAATTTCAAGATAATCCACCTGACTGTCAGAAATGTATATATGCTAAGTAGCACATGATAGAAAATTAGGCTACACTCATTATTTATATAGAACTCATCAAAGCTTGGGAGGCCGAGGCGGGTGGATCACAAGGTCAAGAGATCGAGGCCATCCTGGTCAACATGGTGAAATACCGTCTCTACTGAAAATACAAAAATTAGCTGGGCATGGTGGTGCACGCCTGCAGTCCCAGCTACTCGGGAGGCTGAAGCAGGAGAATTGCCTGAACCCAGGAGGCGCAGGTTGCGGTGAGCCAAGATCGCGCCATTGCACTCCAGCCTGGGTAACAAGAGCGAAACTCCGTCTCAAAAAAAAAAAAAAAAAAAAAAAAAGAACTCATCAAAGCAACACCCAGATGGGCAACAGTTAACACTCCAATTTTGTTGCCTAAAAAATGTAACACTATCTCTGTGAAACTATTCTAACTAAAGAATTCTGTGAGGTTTCTAAAACCTAAAGTCCTGACTATTATAAATTAGGGGACAAGATAAAAAGTCAATCCCCCTCGAAAACAGACAAAGTTTTTGTTCTGCTCATAGATGGGCTACCGCAAGAGAGGCAACCAGCCTATTCACCTCTCATAGGACCCAAAACTTATTCTGCCAAAAGAAAATACTTGAAAATTGGAGAGCTAATTTTAATTTATGGTCTTCTAGGACTTTTTGTAAACAAGTCCCCATCCACATCTGAAGGCAACCCCAGACAGGTAAAAAGACAGCAACATACTAAGACATTCAGAAAATACAGTATTTTGGATAAAAGCCCAGAGAAAAATATAAGGGTGCAGGAAACCAGTGTACTTCCAGCTTCAAAGAGCATTTATAACATTAACTAAAGAAGGGTTTTCAAAATCCACACTAATAGTCAAATCCTGTTACAACTTAAAAAGGACTTTCCAAAGTCTTTAATGGCAGTGAAATTTTGTACTGAACATCATTGAAGTAAATGGTCCACTGGGCTGGGCCTTTGGACTTTTTGGTTATATGGCCTCTGCTGTAAAGGTGTTTTGCTATAACTGGATTTGACCTCTTCCATGTAAGAAGATCTAAAATTTAAATGCAAAGTATTCTGGAAAATAAGAAGAAAAATAGAAAAGTCATTTATTCCAAAATTTATAGATAATCCACACCACAGTAGCCAATATATTTCAACTGTGTCACTTTAATGTTATCTTTTATTGAGTAACTCTCTAAAGAGCTTAACGGAATGGACGCTGATTTGGACTTTGCAAAACTGGTTACTCTAACAAATAATACTCCCATGAGCACAAGCTCAGGCACTTAGAATGCATACTTTTGAGGTCTTGCAAAACTTGGGTTTATAGCTCTTCAGAAAGTAGGCTGACAACCAATTCGTGTCACAAAAAACTTTGTTGCTTTTATTATTCTAGGATACAGTGAAGTGTATGTTGAGAATCAGAAGTATACAACTAAAAAACAAATTTAGTCAACTCAGTTTCTCAGAATATGGATTTTTCTACTACCTAACAAGCTATAGCTCAATATGGCTTTTAAGACAATGAAGTTTTAGAATGAAAAACGTAACATGGCACTTTCCTTTGGTTAGAAAATTTAATTTAGTACTAAAGGTTAAAAGCAAAGGCAGAATGTTTTATATGTTCTCTATATATTCCTAAATACAAAAATTTTCTTCCAGGTACATTAAAATGAATTTCAAAGATAAAGTTCCTTTATAAAATTCAAGAGTCCTGATTGAACAAGGGAGTCGTTTATTTCAGCATCTATAATTGATGAGAAGTCTGACCAAGTGTTTTAAGATTACTAGACAGTGTTTTGAAAGGGTCTTCCCTTAAACAATCATATGGTTAAAGAAAATTGTCCATTCTTCTATTTAGTCCTATAGGACTCTACAAGGCCACCGAACATCACACATGGACAGCTTAATGCTCAACTCCCTTATAAAAGCTTGTAGCCTTAATGAGGATAAAAACAAGTAGAAACTGGATACGACCTTACTGGCGAAGAGCGAAATGAGAGAATGTTACAACAATGAAGGTCTGTACCCAACAATTATGTTCTTATCCTTCTGGCACTTGCGGCGAAATTGTTACTTAACCACTAGGGCTGACATCTAGATTAGACAATTTATGTCACTTTATATGGATAACCCTTCCTGGGTTCTCTTTTGATTAGAGAATTGCAAAACAGAAACATGAGAAAACCATTACTTTGGCAGAAGGTCTAAAACCAGATGACATAAACCATGTGATGACTGGTTGGTTGCATCAGATGACATCAAGACTAAACCCAACCTGATTCCCACTTCTTTCGATTGGTGAGGAACTATCAATGATTCCCATCCAAGCTTACACCAGAAAAAAGGTCATTTTCTAAAAATTATTTCATTTTTAATCCATTACATTACTTTGGGGAAGTACAAAAAAAAATTGGCTTATCAAACCTTGAATAATCCTATATAAAATTTTCTCATTTATTTTATGAAATTTTATCCACCTTCCTACCATAGTTGTAGTGACAATAACTGAGGTTCTTACTATAAAGCATTTAGGACTCTTAGGAAGAGCCAAAAAGAAACCAAGTAAGTGGCTATTTTTCTCTCATTTTTCATTATTATAAGGACTAAGTATGACAGATTTGTCTGAAACAAAGTCTCACTCTGTCACCAGGCTAGAGAGCAATATCAAGATCTCAGCATTGCAACCTCTACCTCCCAGGTTCAAGAAATTCTCCTTTCTCAGCCTCCCGAGTAGCTGGGACTACGGGCATGTGCCACTACACACAGCTAATTTTTGTATTTTTAGTAGAGACGGGGTTTCACCATGTTGGCCAGGCTGGTCTTTACCTTGTGATCGGACCAACTCGGCCTCCCAAAGATCACAGGCATGAACCACCCCACCCAGCCCAGATTTTTTTTGAGAGAGAGTCTTGACCAGGCACAAAATGGCTCATGTCTGTAATCCCAGTACTTTGGGAGGCCGAGGCAGGTGGATCACTTGAGGTCAGGAGTTTGAGACCACCCTACCCAACAAGGTGAAACATCTTTACTAAAAATACAAAGCTAGCCGGGCATAGTGGTGCATGCCTGTAATCCCAGCTACTCAGGAAGCTGAGGCAGGAGAATCACTTGAACCCAGGAGGCAGAGGTTTCAATGACCCAAGATTGCACCATTGCACTCTAGCCTGGGTAACAAAAACAAAATTCTGTCTCAAAAAACAAACAAACAAGGGTGCCTGTAATCCCAGCTATTCGGAAGGCTAATAAGGCAGAATTGCTTGAACCTGGGAAGCAGAGGTTGCAGTGAGCTGACATTGCATCACTGCACTCCAGCCTGGGTGACAAGAGCAAAACTTCATCTCCAAAAAAAAAAAAAGATAGAGTCACACTCTGTGACCCAGGCAGGAGTGCAGTGGTACAATCTTGGCTCATTGCAACCTCCGCCTCTGGGGTTCAAGTAATTCTCCTACTTAAGCCTCCTGACTAGCTGGGACTGCAGGCACATACCACCACACCCAGATAATTTTTGTATTTTTAGGAGACAGGGTTTCACCAATGTTGGCCAGGCTGGCCTGGAACTCCTGGCCTCAAGTGATCTGCCTGCCTTGGTCTCCCAACGTGCTGAAACTATACAGGCATGAGTCACCACAGCCTGGCTGACAAAATGTTTTAATATGGCACCATAAACACATATTAATGAAACAATTTAATGTTTACAACATGACCACATAATAAGAATCACTAGCCTTAGAGCTCTTGAAAAACTAATATACTCCAACCTTATAAAGTGGATCTCAGCTGGGCGCGGTGGCTCATGCGTATAATCCCAGCACTTGGGGACACTGAGGCGGGCAGATCAGGAGGTCAGAAGTTCAAGACCAGCCTGGCCAACAAAATGAAACCCTGTCTCTACTAAAAATACAAAAATGAGGGAAGCATGGTGGTGCACATCTATAGTCCAAGCTACTAAGGAGGCTGAGACAGGAGAATCGCTTGAAGCGGGGGTGGGGGCGGAGGTTGTGGTGAGCTGAGCAACTCCATTCTAAGAAACAGAAAGAGACTCAGTCTTTAAAAAAAAAAAGAATCATTTGAAGCCAGGAGGCAGAGATTGCAGTGAGCCCAGATCCCACCAGTGCACTCCAGTCTAGGCAACACAGTAAGACTCCATCTCAAAAGAAAAACAAAGGCCTGGCCCATGGCTCATGCCTGTTATCCCAGCACTTTGGGAGGCTAAGGTGGGGAGATCAAAAGGTCAGATCAAGACCATCCTGGACAACATAGTGAAACCGTGTCTCTACTAAAAACACAAAAATTAGCTGGGTGTCGTGGCACATGTCTGGAAATCCATCTACTCAGGAGGCTGAGGCACTAGAATCACTTGAACCTGGGAGGCAGAGGTTGCAGTGAGCTGAGATCACGCCACTGCCCTCCAGCTTGGTCACAGAGTGAGACTCTGTCTCAAAAATTTTAAAAAGTGGATCTCGTCATAACTGTTACTTAAGACTTTTTGTACGGTTTTCTGTACCAGTCTGTAGTAGAGTTACTCATCTTACCCAAATAAAGTGTAGATATATTCATAATTTCCAAAACCACCACCCTATTGAGTCTAGAGTTTAAAAGGCCTAAGATAAATGAAAGCCACCCTAGTACTTAAGTCTTCGCATCTCTTCCAAAAGGGCCTTTGAGCAGCAAGGAGCAAAAATAATTCACAGCTTTGACTCCTTCAGCAATTAAAGGCAAACAATACTTTCCATGGCCTTCTCCCTTTTAAGATCAATGGATATGTTTTATCAATAAGATCACCACATTTTTTTTCTTCCTCTAACATGGATCATAGGAAACAAGGATCACCAAATATTAAACCAAAGTCAACAAATTTAAAACAGGACAACTAACATAGAACTTGTCACCAGGTTGTCATGATAGACTTGGAGGGGAAGATATCTGAAACTATATTCTGAAATCTAAGCAAAAAATCCACCGTTCCTCCAGAGTTTGTCCCAAAAGGAAAAGAACCAATTTTCTAAAAGAGGCAAAGAAAAACTTCAGAAGGGAACTTTGTAAACTTTAGCCACAGAAACGAAACTTATGGTCTAAAATCACAAAAAAGTTCACCACCCTCCCCAGGCCCCTTCTTGAAACTTACTTTTTGCTACGTTCTTCATGGCCGTTGGCACTGCTCAACTTGTTCTCATCCTAAGCAGGGTTGATAGAAGAACATCATGAGGACGAAGTGGTAACATTTCAAGTTGTCAAAGGGTAAAGGGAACAGGAATAAGAAAATACAAAACAATTTTAAAACTAATTATTTATTTATAGTTTAACATGGAAGGCTATAAAAAAATTTAGATAGGTATGTGTTTAACCACTTTGTTGCTTACATTTAAGTCGTCAAGATACAAAAATAAAAAAACTTTCCATATTAACAGTTAAATTTTACTTTCTTATATAGTTTAAAGTTATCCACATTTACAACGTTGAAGTGGTTAAATATAATTTCCATAAAACATGAAGTCCTGTTTTGAGTTTTATTCCATGTGCTATGGTCCCTTTGGTCAATACCATGGCTCTATTTCTGCCTAAGCCCCAAGTGGCCGTGCTAGCAGCCAGCCACTATCGATTCCTGTGACCGATGCCATTCCTGAGATCTTCGCCCATTTCCGTTGGAGGGTTGGGACTGTAAGAGCTTGATGCCACCTCTGTCACACATCTCGCCCTGAAGCAAACAGGGATTCACACTGCTTTAGTAATGTTGACTCCCAAGAACCCAAGAAAGTCAATTAATAATCCACCAGTCCAGCCTAAACATTTCCTACTTCCATACCTGTTTACATGGAATTACATCCATGTTAAAAAACTAAGACACAAGAATCTTAACATTAAAACAGAAAGTAGCTCTTCAAGAGTCTAAGCATTATAAAATTACATACACTATTTAAAGCTATCAAGAATTCATCCAAATTGGTACCACATGGTCGTGCTATACAATCCAAAACAAATGTATTATTTTTAAAAGGTTTAGCGAAATGTTTATTTTAAAGTTTGATTACATCAGCTATAGGAGTAAAGTGCTAACTTACAAAGTTTATGGTTGTGACACCAGTGATAATGCATGCATACTGCTATTTTCACCACCAACTGGTGAAACAATGAATAGACAGTTTACTTTTACTGCGATACCGAAATGAGTCAAAGACTATATTAGCCAAAATAATTCCTTTGTTTTTAGTGTGAAATACTATGGCAGGGCCTAATTAAAAATAAAACAATATGGAGTACAGTAAAACAGTCATCAAGTGACTCTAAGCTGTAATACTGTCTCTTGTATTTTTTTTGTTTAATTTCTACTCAGGGATCCAAGAATTTTAGTAATTATTAACTGAGCAGCAGATAGCCACTGGCCTGTTTTAAGATTTACTATCACCAGTCTTACATAGATATATATAAATTTTAAAATCTCACCCATTTCTTCTTAGAAGACTTATTAGAAGATTTAACTTGCCACAGACTGGTTATGTTTTGTTATTCTTGGACCCCTGCTTTTTCCCAAACCACTACATTCACCTTTTTGCTATACCAAACTGGAGCTGGTAATTCTTAGTTGAGTCATTTTACCTAGGGGACCACGGTACAGCGATAAGTCACTCAATTACTACCTTATGATTGACAGTTCACACTGGAATCAAAGGTGAATTCATGGGAGTAGAGGTGAGATATCGTTAGGCAAGTCTACAAAGAGAGATAGATGGGCATTTATTCATCACGCTGAAGTGAAACTACTGCACAATATTATTACATCAATAGCATATATTTACTTTTGTAAGTTACACGCAATGCATCTCTGATAAGATAAATCAAGAGGGCTCCGGGGATGTTAGTTTACATTTCAGCAGTAGTTTCGTGAATAATGCTAAATTAAGAAATATATAAACCTCACCGACATGTTTTTTCTCACCTTCTTGTAAGGAGCCTCAAGCATTGCTTCAATATCAATATCGTCTGCCATTTTCTCTAAACGCCTAGGAAAAGAACAAGACAATTTCTTGAGTAAACATTTCTTTGAGACAATTTCATTCTTGTTGCCTATACTGCCTAACATTTTCTCTAAATGCCTAGGAAAAGAACAAGACGATTCCGTGAGGAAACATTTTTCTTTTTTTTTTTTTGAAACGGAGTTTTCCTCTAGTTGCCAAGGCTGAAGTGCAGTGGTGCGATCTGGGCCAACTGCAAGCTCCGCCTCCCCGGTTCAAGCGATTCTCCTGCCTCACCTCCCAAATAGCTGGTAGCACAGGCGCCTGCCACCACGCCCAGTTAATTTTTGTATTTTTAGTAGAGACGGGGTTTCGCTATGTTGAGGAGGCTGGTCTCGAACTCCTGACCTCAAGCGATCCGCCTGCCTCGGCATCCTCAAGTGCTGGGATTACAGGCGTGAGCCACCGCGCCCGGCCTCGGTAAACGTTTTTCAAATCGACTGAATTTTTTTTCTCAGCCAACATCCTCTAAAACTTAAAAAAAAAAAAAAAAACCTCCAAAAGCCCTACAATGAATGAGTGAAGTGACACGCATTTTAACGAGGTTTGCTTCTGTACAAGTGAATCCACAACAGCCTCTTACACCAAACACGCGAAAACAGACACAGAAACGTGCAACGTTGAAAACCCTGCTATCAACTTCAAAAACATAAGCTGCCAGACCCCGAGCGAGAGCGCCTCTTTCCGCGCAAAAAATCGCGCTGCCATTTTAGGGGCAAAGGGAAACTCCCTCCATTAGGAGGGGTGGCGAGCCAAGGCAGCGTTCCACTGGCGCCATGTTAGGAGGTCGCGGCCTGCCCAGGCCTCGGAGGAGACAGGTCACCATCCTACCGCGGCCTCTCGAGGGTATTTGCCACAAGAATCCAGGCTCGGGTACCCGACAGAAAAATAAGGGCGTGGTCGCTGAAACAGGGCCGATTTCTCCAGAACCTCCCCCCACTCCGGTCACTAAAGACCGCCAAGAGCGCCCCTCGGTGCAAAAAGGAGTCGACCCTACAGAAACCTGGAATAACACGCGGGTCCGCGACGTCCCAGTACCTGTGCCGGCTTTCGGGCGCCTGTGGTGCTCGTGCTCGTGAAGAGACTGCTGCCGCCGCCGCCGCCGCCGCTGTTGCTACTGTTAAGCCCCTAGGCCCAGGCCGCGGGACTGCCCAGCCCGAATATCGGGCTCCGAGGACGGCTAGGCCCAAGCGAATCTAAAAAACACAATGGAATTAGAGAAGCCCACGCGGGAGAGCAGGACGGCGGCTTCGGCAGCTCAGGATCCACCCCTGCGACAGCGTCGGCAAGCTCCCTGAAATGGCGGCCGCAGCTTCCCTGTACTCACATTCACCAGCACACATACACACACAAACACACGGGGCCTCACAGAGCCCTCAGCACGGGCTCTCGCGAGAAGCTGCCCCACGCTCCAAATCGGAGCGGCCAAAGTATCGCGAGATCTCAATAAGGCCCCCAGCGACCGTAGCCCAATCTCGCGCAATGATTGCGCCATAGACATTCCCATCCCCCATTCAGAGGGGCGCCTTTCACTACCCCGTGCATAAGCACCCTAATCTCGCGAGACGGCGCGGGTCTCTAGGGCAAAGACAGTTGGTGGACTGCCTGTCAATCTTTCAGAGCGCTCCTAGCTGAGTGGAGTTCTGCGGTGGCCGCCCTTCGGTAACGCCTCCTCACGGCCATCTGAAGATTCCCCGGCACAGCCGACCGCCTCCGCTCTGGCCTCCCACCGGATGGCGGTCAAGGTCGCCATAAGGCAACCTAGTCCTTATGGCGATAGGATAAGACGGCCATATTCAGATTATCCGCTGAGGGTGGAGACGAAGTGGTAAAGTGTATCAGAAGACGAGAGGAGACTTGAGGGGTAGGAGGAAAGGGGAGATAATAAAAATAGATTTGCTTGTCATTTGGAGCCAGTGGCGCGTCGTCCACTGTCGAGCTTTGAAACACCCTTGGAAATAGTGGAGAAAAGCAAAAAAAGGTGGAAAAAATAAACTTTGCTCCCCTTGGCATGGGATCAGCTTTTGTGCCCTGAATTTAATCAGCTCTTGTCAGTGTCGCTACCGTTTCTTCAAAAATATTCCCTTTCCTGAATATTACTGAAGAATTGCTGGAAAAAAAAAAAAGACCCCTCCTCCCACCAAAAAAAGTCCCCCTTTCCCCTGCGACCTGGCTCCTCTCCCCTGAACTCTCCCAGATGTCTGGTAATTAGAGTGAATTCGCCGCTTGTTCTTTAGTCAGTACTGTAAGGGGTTTCCTCCTAGATGCTAGAAAAAACAATGGAAAGAAGTCTTCAAATCAAAAATCTTACCGAAGCCTCTTAACAGTCTAATGATCGAGGGCGAAAAAGATTCGAAATGAGATGTCTTGATTCGAGTAGCTAGCTGCTCCAACACTGTGTGACCTTGGACAAGGAAATTAACCTCAGAGCAGATCTTTCATTTCCTGATTTAAAAGGCGACATATTCAGGCCTGGCTCCGTGGCCGACGCCAGTAATTCCAGTACTTTGGGAGACCGAGGCGGGCGGATCGCCTGAGGTCGGGAGTTCGAGACCTGCCTGACTAACATGGAGACACCCCGTCTCTACTAAAAATAACATTAGCCGGGTGCAGTGGCGCATGCCTGTAATCCCAGTTACTTGGGAGGCTACTTGGAAGCCTGAGGCAGGAGAATCGCTTGAATTTAGGAGGCTGAGACTATGGTGAGCCGAGATCACACCCTTGCACTCCACCCTGAGCAACAGGAGCAAAACACCGGCTCAAGAAAAAAAAAGGTAGGGGACATATTCTTAGTAGCTAGACTAAGCTACTTGAGACTGAGGAAGGCAGGTAATGCTCACTACTGAATTTCGGAGGTTTCCAGGGCATGTCTGCCCAGGTAGACCCTCAGTGAATTAATGAATGAAGGCCCAGTAAGGTTGTAATGAAGATTAAATGATACAATGTCTGTAAAACGCCTGAGAAATATTTAATCTTCAAAAAAGCTAACTTCTCTTTCTGCTAAACAAAATTATTTAGAGAAAATATAGATGTTAACAGGTTTTACCTCTCAGGTTAACTTTACACACAGGCTAGGGTTTATCTTAGAAGATTATTTTTATTTATTTATTAGATGGAGTTTCGCTCTTCTTACCCAGGCTGGAGTGCAATGGCACGATCTCAGCCCACTGCAACCTCCGCCTCCTGGGTTCAGGCAATTCTACCTCAGCCTCCTGAGTAGCTGGGATTACAGGCACATGCCACCACGCCCAGCTAATTTTTTGTGTTTTTAGTAGAGACGGGGTTTCACCATGTTGACCAGGATGGTCTCGATCTTCTGACCTCGTGATTCACGCGCCTCGGCCTCCCAAAGTGCTGGGATTACAGGCTTGAGCCATCGAGCCTGGCCTTAAACGGTGTTTTTAAATTATCTGCTAAATTGCCAAATTGTTTCCGACAGTCCTTGAGCAGAAAACTATTTGAGGGATCTCAAAGCATCAAGTGACTTAGAACTTAAATTCTTCCCAAGCAAGAAGTCTAGAGGTTAAGGTCAAATTCGGTCCTGTCATGCTTCCAAACAAACGAGAAAAATGAAGTGTCACCTTCATGCTTTGATTTTGCACAATAATAAGTCAGAATACTGGACTTACCAGGCTGGGTGGGGGGGGCCTTTTTTTTTGAGATGGAGTCTAGCTCTGTCACACAGGCTGGACTGCAGTGGTGTGATCTCAGCTCAGTACAACCTCTACCTCCTAGATTCAAGGGAGTCTCCTGCCTCAGCCTCCCAAGTAGCTGGGACTGCAGCCCTCCATGACGCCCGGTAACAAGAGCAAAACTCCATCTCAAAACAAAACAAAACATCATTTTAAAAAATCAAGTCTCTCAAACAAGTGTTTGTTTGTTTTTTGAGACAGAGTCTTGCTTAGTCCCCCAGGCTGGAGTGCAATGGCATGACCTCGGCTCACCGCAACCTCTGCCTCATAGGTTCAAGTGATTCTCCTGCCTCAGCCTCCTGAGTCGTTGAGATTACAGGCATGTGTCACCACAACCAGCTAATTTTGTATTTTTAGTGGAGATGGGGTTTCTCCATGTTGGTCAGGCTGGTCTCAAACTCCCCACCTAGGTGTGATCCACCCACCTCGGCCTCCCAAAAGTGCTGGGATTACAGGCATGAGCCACTGCACCCAGCCAAACAAGACTATTTTTTATGTTTAAAAGAAAATATCCCGCTGGGCGCCGTGACTCACACCTATAATCCTAGCACTTTGGGAGGCCAAGGCAGGCAGATCAAGAGATCAAAACATCGAGACCACCCTGGCCAACATAGTGAAACCCTGTCTCTACTAAAAATACAAAATTTAGCTGGGTGTGGTGGTGCGTACCTGTTATCCCAGCTACTCTGGAGGCTGAGGCAGGAGAATGGCTTGAACCCAGGAGGTGGAGGTTGCAGTCAGCCGAGATTGCATCAGTGCAGTCTGGCCTGAGTGATAGAGGGAGACCTCTGTCTCAAAAAAAAAAAAAAAAGAAAGAAAAATGAAAGAAAGAAAAGAAAATATCCTTAGGCATGATGGCACATGACCTGTAATCCCAGAACTTTGGGAGGTCAAGGCAGGAGGATTGCATGAGCCCAGGAATTTGAGACTAGCCTGGGCAATAAACATATCAAGACCTTGTCTGTACAGACAACTTAAAAAATTAGCCAGATATGATGATGCATGCCTGTAGTTCCAGCTACTCAGGAGGCTGAGATGGGAATATTGCTTGAGCCTCGGAGTTCAAGACTGCAGTCAACTAGAATCATGTGCCACTTTACCCCAGCCTAGGCAACAAAGAAGGACCCTGTCTCTAACAGAAAAGAAAATATGACCTACATAACATGCTTTTCATTCACTTTATAAAAATTCTGTAACTCTGGTTCATGAACTTTCTATGTAGATTAATTTCCCTTTTTTTTTTTTTTTTTAATAAGACGGAGTTTCGCTCTTTTTACCCAGGCTGGAGTGCAATGCCACGATCTCGGCTCACCGTAACCTCCGCCTCCTGGGTTCAGGCAATTCTCCTGCCTCAGCCTCCTGAGTAGCTGGGACTACAGGCGTGCACCACCATGCCCAGCTAATTTTTGTATTTTTAGTAGAGACAGGGTTACACCATGTTGACCAGGATGGTCTTAATCTGTTGACCTCGTGATCCACCCGCCTTGGCCTCCCAAAGTGCTGGGATTATAGGCATGAGCCACCGCGCCCGGCCTAATTCCCCCCCTTTTTTTTTTTGAGACGGAGTTTCGCTGTTGTTACCCAGACTGGAGTGCAATGGCACAATCTCAGCTCACGACAACCTCCGCCTCCTGAGTTCAAGCAATTCTCCTGTGTCAACCTCCTGAGTAGCTGGGACTACAGGCGCGCACCACCATGCCCAGCTAATTTTTTTTTTTTTTTTTTAGTGGAGACGGGGTTTCACCTTGTTGACCAGGATGATCTCGATCTCTTGACCTCATGATCCACCCGCCTCAGCCTCCCAAAGTGCTGGGATTATAGGCGTGAGCCACCATGCCCGGCTAATTTCCCTTTTATAATTTTGCTCTCGGGGGACTGCAGGTGGGGTTTAAAAAAAACTTTTTTTTTGCTCTCAAAGGATAGAGGAATGGAGCCTGAAATAGAGTTGAAAAAGTAATTAATATACTTAGAGAATTAGGCTGTAAACTAAATGTATTTTACCAATATGAGAATTTTTAATTTTTTAATTATTAAGGGTACATTTTAAGTGTATATGTTTGTCAGATACATGTAGTTTTGTTTTGGTTTTTGTCTCCAAAGATCTATAGCAGGTAGAATTGTTTTTGTTTTTGTTTTTGAGACAGTCTTCGTCTGTCTTGAGGCCGGAGTGCGATGGTGGGATGTCAGCTCACTGCAAATGCCACCTCCCAGGTTCAAGCCATTCTCCTGCATGAGAATCACTTGAACCATGGAGGCACAGTTTTCAGTGAGCTGAGAATGAGCCACTGCACTCCAGCCTGGATGACAGAGTGAGACTCTGTCTCAAAAAGAGAAAATTTTTTGTAGAGACTGGGGCTTCAAACGTGATTTTTTTTTTTTGAGACGGAGTTTTGCTGTTGTTACCCAGATTGGAGTGCAATGGCATGATCTCGGCTCACCGCAGCCTCCGCCTCCTGGGTTCAAGCAATTCTCCTGCCTCAGCCTCCCAAGTAGCTGTGACTACAGGCACGCATCACCATGCCCAGCTAATTTTTGTATTTTTAGTAGAGATGGGGTTTCACCTTGATGACCAGGATGGTCTTGATCTCTTGACCTCGTGATCCACCACGCACGGTCCAAACATGTGATGCTTTGATACAGGCATATAATGTGTAATAATCAAATCAGAGTAATTGGGTTAATCTCAAGCATTTCTCTTTTTTATTTTTATTTTTGATGGAATTTCACTCTTGTCACCAAGGCTGGAGTGCAATGGCACGTTCTTGGCTCACTGGAACCTCCATCTCCCAGGTTCAAGTGATTCTCTCCTCCCTCAGCCTCTTGAGTAGCTGGGATTCCCTCCCCACTAATTTTTGTATTTCTAGTAGAAACCGGGTTTCACCATGTTGGCCAGGCTTGTCTTGAACTCCTGAACTCATGATCCACCTGCCTTGGCCCCTAAAATCCTGGGATTACAGGTGTGAGCTACCGTACCTGGCCCAGATGCAATTAATTTTAACACCCATGTGACCGTTGCCTGATTTAGACAGATGAAATTGTACCTCTGACCCAGGTTCCTTTCCCTTCTGTACTTGATTATCTAATCAATCTAATTCCTGATTGAATTTTTTTTTTTTTTTTTTTTTGAGACAGAGTTTAGCTCTGTTGCCCAGGCTAGAGTGCATTGGCAGGATCTCAGCTCAGTACAACCTCTGCCTCCCAGATTTAAGCAATTCTCCTCCCTCAGCCACCCAAGTAGCTGGGATTACAGGCGCGAGCCACCACGCCTGGCTAATTTTTATATTTTTGGTAGAGACCAGGTTTCACCATGTTTAGTCAGGCTGCTGACCTCATAATCCACCCACCTCAGCCTCCCAAAGTTCTGGGATTATAGGCCTGAGCCACCTCGCTAGGCCTAGAAGAAATCTTTCAAGGGCACATCCCTAGGTACTTACTTGAGGTTGATACCATATTAACTTTGCTGGGGATCATTGGGATCACTGTCAAAGAATCCTATCCTCAAACTCAAGATAATTTCGTTAGATCCTATGTGAACTAGATAGGAAGATAACAATTGATGTTTTCTGTCAGAATTTCATCTTTGGTCAAAAAAGTAAAATGTTGACCGGGCGCAGTGGCTCACGCTTGTAATCCTAGCACTTTGGAAAGCCGAAGTGGGTGGATCACCTGAGGTCAGGAGTTCAAGACCAGCCTGACCATCATGGTGAAACCCCATCTAAAAAAAAAAAAAAAAGTAAAATGTTTTGAACTCACCATAGTTATGGCAATGAAGAAAATTAAGGGGGCCGGGCGCAATGGCTCATACCTATAATCCCAGCACTTTGGGAGGCCGAGACGGGTGGATCACGAGGTCAACAGATCGAGACCATCCTGGTCAACAAGGTGAAACCCCGTATCTACTAAAAATACAAAAATTAGCTGGGCATGGTGGTCCACACCTGTAGTCCCAGCTACTCAGGAGGCTGAGGCAGGAGAATTGCTTGAACCCAGAAGGCGGAGGTTGTGGTGAGCCAAGATTGTGCCATTGCCCTCCAGTCTGGGTAACAACAGCGAAGCTCCGTCTAAAAAAAAAAAAAAAAAAA